TTTATCAGTATTCTTAAGATAAGTTAAACTAAATGCTGATGGTTTCTAATCTTGTGCTAATAACTGTATTTCATTAAAATTATTCCCAAGTCCTCTGCAATTCCACTGAATTATATTTGGAGGTTGAGTTATGGTGGTTCTATGGGAGATCTCTCACGTGCACGTGAGGAAGATGGACTCCTGTGGCTGTGTTCTGGTGGAGTCACCTCCATCTCCAGAGGATCAAATGAGTTACGAACCTCAACAGTAACAGGTACCTCTAAAGTAGAGGGGGTCTGTGATGGTTGTTTACTATTGAGACGTTTTCGTTACTTTTGTGACATTTCGACAGGTATGTCAACAGTATGTTGATCAACCTCAGCTTGTGACCGAGTCTAAGTCTGAGAGGAAGATGTTGTCACAGTCTGAGAGGAAGATGTTGTCACAGTCTGAGAGGAAGATGTTGTCTCAGTCTGAGAGGAAGATGTTGTCACAGTCTGAGAGGAAGATGTTGTCACAGTCTGAGAGGAAGATGTTGTCTCAGTCTGAGAGGAAGATGTTGTCACAGTCTGAGAGGAAGATGTTGTCACAGTCTGAGAGGAAGATGTTGTCACAGTCTGAGAGGAAGATGTTGTCTCAGTCTGAGAGGAAGATGTTGTCACAGTCTGAGAGGAAGATGTTGTCACAGTCTGAGAGTGATTTTGCATAGTGTCTGTTTGCACTGGTTTTTCAGATGTAACCCAAGTCAAATCCGTTTGGCAGGAAATCGAAACAGGTTTTGGTTTGTTTGAGACAGCAGCTGAGTAGGAGATAGTAGGAGTCTGGCTCAGAATTTGTTGTTTAGCTTCATGGAAAGGAATATTGGTTTCGTATTTTAATTTTAGGAGTTTTGTTTGAATCTGCCACTCAGGGCAAGATTTGCAAGATGACAGATGGTCACCACTGAAGTTTGCACATTTAGGGTCTTTAGTGCAATCAGCGTCCTGATGATCCTAGCTACAGCGGTGACAACAATGAGAGTAACGGCAGGATTTGGAGCCGTGCCCAAACTTTTGACATGTATAACATCGGAGTGGAGAGGCGATATACACCTCCACTCCGATATTGAAATAACCAGCTTTATGGATTTACACAGTGTAGACAAAGCAAATGTAAACAGGTAGGTATGGTTGGGTTCGATTCTACCAACTTGTTTCTTGACAGTGAAGCGTTTTACAGAAGTGACATTTTGATCTTTAAGTTTGGTAACTATCTCCTCCTCAGACATGTCCGCCAGACAACGGACTCTGTCTCTAACAATGCCTCTACTAGAGTTGAGTGTTTTGTGCGCTGAAACAGCGACAATGATATTTGCAAAGTGATGTTGTTTTAACAAATTATTGTTGACGTCTTGTACACTCAACAAGGAGCAAACCACCTCGGAAACGGGAAACGTTCTTAACTTCACCACAGATAGATTGAATCATCTTTGAGAAAACAAACGGATTGATCTTAAGAGGATCTCCATTTGTTGATTCAATGACAATAAACCTGGCCCAAGTTTCTTGTTTTGAAACTGAAACATCTTCATGATATGAGAGATGACCAGCCTCTAAACGCCTTTTCTTGTCATTTCTAACAGAACCAGAATTTGTAAGCGACATGATGTAGATAGTAAGATTCAGCACCCCCGCTTTCCTACCCACCATGGAGTGTCAACAAGGACAGCATTTCACTGCAGCAGAGATCAAGCATGCAAACACTAGGGATACAAAGGTGATATACTCCAGCATGAATAGCTATATTTGTCTACCAAATAAAATGTTAGGCTGGTTCGGCTCATAACAAGACACTGGAGACATATAGAACTCTGAGGTCGACATTACCAGATTGGCCCATGAGCCACCGCCTTCTGGCATGGGACTCTAGGCAAACGTATTCATAAAAGGTTTAACATTAAAAGCCCAAATACAATGTGATGTAGTAAATTAGACAAACAAGTTACCAGCACAGGGTTGACATGACCAGCCGATTGATAGTACCGGGCCCATTCTACCACCCGTTTAGGTGAAGTTAGGGTCAAAGTAGTGTGTTGGGCAAAGGAACACTGTTCCAGGAACCAGTGCCCAAAAACACCAGACTCCCCTCCTCCACCGACATAGGGGCGCAACCCACGGCAAACGGGTTGCCCAATTTGGTCGCCTTTTATGACCAGCAATGGGATACTGAGGACATCTTCTACCCCTGGTCCACACGGGGGAAGGGCTATTTTCGTTACCCAGCACTCACCACGGGGAGGTTGCTCTTCATGAGTGTTGATGCTAAAAGGTATTGTCAAACGATTATTAACTTTTACACTGCAGTCAACTTCATCATGGAGAGATTTAATGGAGAGTATTTTGCCACGTACGCCCACCTTCTGTAACATGACCCACACAGTCACGCTCAAACTTGACGAAGGCTTTTTTTTCTCACATCAATGATCCCTGCAAAGGTACTTTGTCCGGCATTTTTTTCTTATAATATTTACAAAGGTATACAAGGCAAAGATATGTTCCAAGCTGTTTCGCTGTCTTCCATAACTATTCTTTTCCTCAATGAGTTTGTTGTTATCTTTGAGCCACTTTGTTAAACTCTGATTTCAATTATCCCTCTGTATGTAGATGGTTGTCTGGTGTTGGTGCAGCCAGTCTGTACAATCGGAGAGAGTGAGTGAGTGAGTTGTGTTGGGTTTAACGCCACTTTTATCAGTATTCAATTTATATCGCTGCGTGTCAACTTAATGTGGGAGGACAGCCTGAAGTGATGCACGTCTCAGACGTTTATCACTTCTGTGAAACCCACGAGCACGAGTAAGGTGCTGACAAACCTAGAAACATAATCGGGGCGAACCGGGTTTCGAAACCCAAAATCATAGGTTTCTGGCTTGTCCAAGGGACACAACTCAGCTCAGTGAATCGCGGCGCCTTAGACGACTGGGCCACCTGTGCCCCACAATGGGAGAGATAATGCCTATTTACTGCCTCGGTGGTGACGTTATTTCATGAGTTTAAGCTTCTCCACTGAAATCTCATCGAAACCTGAAGCCTTGTGATTCTTTGCCCCCTCACAGCTTGCTCAACGTCGCTTAGAGTTATCAGGATATTTAAACAATCATTTTCTAAATCAGTGATGCAATTTGATTTCATCCAATGCAGTTCAGAGGTGATGAGGTCAAAATTATCGTCAGGGCCATAGTTGCACAGTGGAAGGCGATGTTCACGTGTCTACCTTTCGTCTTTTTGACTCCACTTGAAATAATACGATAAATGGGGAAGTAAACGTGATTCTCTTCCTATGACATATGGGGAACTGAACGTGATTCTCTTCCTATGACATATAGGGAACTGAACGTGAAAATAAAGAAACTATGGAAGGTCCATGACCACGAATGTAGGAATGAATGAATAACTGACTATAGGAGCTAGTACACACTTTACGTTTCTCGGGACCACGAATATAGTTCCATCCAGTTTCTCTAAAGACCACGAATATTGGTCCAATGACAACTATTTTCTATAAAGACCACGATTATTGCTACGACGGTAAAGTGTGTCTTGCTCCAACGAACGAAAAGCCTGCACTGACGATTGCAATGCATCACGTGTCAGAATACATTTTCTGATTTCCGCAAACTAAACTGTTTTTCACTGGATTAGATCCTTTTTATTTTAACCCATTCTTTCAGGCCCGGTATCTTGTCTTGGGTTCAAATGGGTTTTATGCTACACTTATGTCTACGGCTATTACCCCTGTGAATCTGTTTCCCGTGGACCCTATTATCAAATTCCGTGGAAAACAGATCAAGGAATTGTTCACAGTCAGTATCAATTTCATTTGATGTTTCTCTATTTTTTCCGACAGTGCATGTAACAGCTTCCTCATTTTCATTTTGTTGTAGGGTTATATGGCATTGTGATTCATTGTTAAACAATGATTGTAACTGTATTACATTGTTTTTGTTGAGATTCAGTAGAAGTTCATAACATTGTATTTGGACAATGAGTAGTTGTCAGGAATGTAGTACAGTTGAATGTAAGCAGTGGTGAGGAAGTTATATCATTAAAACGCTCGAATTATCTGTAAACTTTCGGAATAGCATGGATAGATGTCAAGCGTTATAGAAACATTTCGAGTATTCTGTGATGTTCTTGTGACACAGGACTGGTCGAGCACTGTGTGGAAAGTGCCTGAAGCTAGTTCGACCATATAAGTGGAGTGGGCGTGTGCCTGTCATCTCACATTTCACATTACATCAAGACCAGCAGTTGTATGAAGTTCACTTATCACCACGGATTCCCAGCCTAGGCCTATCTCGGGAGCTTGGCCACAGTCACTATTATCACTGAACTTTTTGCTATCACCTCTGCCATCATATTTTGTATTTGATATTGCCATTGAATATCGTACTACAACTCCATTACATACTGCCTTTGTAATTGCTGTGCAGTAATTTGTAAACCTAGTTAATTGTATAATACAATTGTTGATTGTGTACCATTTGTTTGTTTCACACTGTTTTTGTTTTGAGAACCAGTGAGTGTTGGAGTAGCCATAATGTGAGAAAGGAAATTCAATACCCCTGCTCCCCTGATCGGGAGCATATATTGAATGTCATTGCAAGAGAGGAAAGGGAAAAATAGCTGTGAAAATTATGAATGGGTCACTGGACATCAGTGATGACACCAGGTGTTTAAGAAATGGGTAGGCAATTTCCTGCCCTACCGGTAGCACCTGCAATTCCAAGTATATCGGTGTACCGAGCCATCACCCCAATTGTTTATCTAAACGACAGACTGATTTGATTTGAACAATGTTTTATTAAGGCACTTCTATAAATTTTTATACATAACATTTTTAAGTATATACATTAGATAATAAGCCAAAGGCTTTTATAAAATGTCAATTCTTACAAGGACAAAATAATATTTTCAGCTATTGTAATTGTAACAAGAAATATATTCAAAACACATTAATTAACCAGTAGTGTTTGTGTTCAAATATTATATTGGCGCAGAACACGTTCCTAAAGAGGACGTCAGCCATCTGGCTCCTTTTGGGAACTGTACTAAATCGTAGGCATGGGAACTCAGTTGGACCTTTACCTTGGCAAGTTTCAGGACTTTCCTAAACACCTCTGTGACACTGTTGTGGTCCATGGCGCAAGCCTCGACATACTTGGTTTTCCACTCTTTCTTGGCAAACAGTTTTGCTCCTTTACATGAGGTAATTCTCTTTTCATCATCTATGTCACTCTTGTTCCCTACCAAGAGAATGGGAACTTTTGTCGTCTTTTTGATGCGAACAATTTCATCTCTCAGCATGGCCACTGTTTCAAAGGAGCATTCCTTGTCCAGGGAGAAAACAAGAATAAATGCATCTCCTGCGGCTATTGCCATCCGTCTTCTTTCCTGGAAGCAATACCCCCCTGGAGTGTCCACGATGTCCAGGGAGATTTGTCGCTTTTTGTCAGCAAGAACAGTCGACTGTTGTTCCAGCTCGATGGTGAAGCCACTGCTTTCAAGGAACTTGTGGTGGAGGAACTGGGAGATGATGCAACTCTTCCCAACTCCAGGGGCTCCAAGGACAACGATATTTAAACTTTGGATGGTATTAGTTGCTGACATGCCTGCTGTTGTTGACTTGACGACTCGACACAGTTGGTCTGCAGTCTTTGTGAAGTGCTGATTGAAAAGGAAGTGTAGGTGACGCAAGCCAGTCGGAATACATGAGACAGTATGCTTTCAAGCAGCTTTTATATGATTGCTGAATTAGATTTATGAATCATTTGACGTTGTGTACCAGAATGGTGTTAATTGAAAGAAGGGGTTGTATCAAGAAAAAATTTAGTATGAAATGTGTATTCTACGGTGGCCCATAAGGGACATGGAGTCTGTTTTTCCATATTTTGATATTTCACTTTTGCAAATTAACATAATTTGTCTTACAAATATGTGATAAATCATGTGTAAAGAAGATATTGAATCGCTGAAAAATGAAACGAAAATGTCAAAAACAAAAACTAAAATGACAAAAACTAAAATGAAAATGTCAAAAACAAAAGCGATAATGTCAAAAACTAAAATAAAAATACAGAAAACTATTTCCACCGCGGTGATAATATTCCAACCGCGGTGATATAATTCCCACTGCAGTGAAAACTATTAACACCGCGGTTGAAATAGTTTTTCTGTTGTTTCATTTTAGTTTTTGTCATTTTCGTTTTGGTTTTTGACATTTCCATTTTAGTTTTAGACATTTTCGGTTCACATTTCGGCGACTCAATAGCTACTTGAAAGTACATTTTCCATGTTTTCGGTTGTTTTTATACATGATTTATCACATATTTGTATGACAAATTGTGTTAATTTGCAAAAGGTTACGATAAAAGTAAGTGAAACATCAAAAAATTGAAAAACAGACTCCATGTCCCTTATGGGCCACCGTACAATCCGCCTATGACGCGTGAACCAGTTTTAGAAAGTATAACTGTTAACTACAAACACTTTAAAACAAACAACAGACTTAGCCTGCATACGTATATACGTTTCCGCATGGTCTGACCAACTCGATGATTTGATAACTTCTTGGAAACATCGCTTCTTAACGTAGATACTGTTTCTATGGTTTTATTTGTTTGTCGTTTAACGCCGCACTCAGCAATATTCTAGCCATGTGACGGCGGTCTGTAAATAATCGAGCATCGATCTTCGCAATTGGGATACGATGACATGCATCAACCAAGTCAGCGAGCCAGACCACCCTATCCTGTTAATCAAGGTTGGAATTAAAGTGTCAAATGTTCTTAAAGTAAAACACAACACTAGTCTCTGCGATAATGGCATCACAAGTCAGTATCTCGTGTACCCTGCCGTGCCACGTCGATACATGGAATGGATGAGGCGGTTGATGAAGGCTATAGGCACTTGAGCCCACACTCTGAGGAACGCCTGGCGCAGTTCAGCTGCAGTTGTCGGCCTTGGTCTGACGTCATTCGGCCGTCTTTGAATCTCGTCCCACAGGTGCTCAATGGGATTTAAATCGGGACTGAGGGCAGGCCACTGCATGGTTCTGATGCCATTCTGCTGGAGAAAGTCTCTTGTTGCTCTCGAAGTGTGGGCACGGGTGTTATCATGCTGAAACTCGTGGTTGCGGCGACGTGCCAAATGAGGTATGGCGTGTGGTCTCAAGACTTGATCAATGTACCGAGCTGCTGTGACACCATTGCCTCTCCCTGGACCGATGTTCTGAAAGACCACAGGCAAGACCAATTTCACCGAACACCATGATGCTCGGACCACCCCACGAGTCTCTCTCAACAACACAAGCATCCGAATAACGTTCCCCACGGCGTTGCCCACTGAAGACGGTCCCGGCGATGACGTGGTGACAGAATGGGTCCTCGGTGTGGCCTGTGACAGTGGAGGTGTCAATCGTCGACGCACGGTGTCCGCACTAATGTGTCGCTGGTGTGTCCCCATGGTCTGACGAGCAGTTTCCGCAGCAGTAACAAAGCGATCTTGAAGATGCTGTCGCACAATCTTACGATCCTGACGTCGGGTGGTGACCCTTGGTCTTCCACTACGTGGTCGCTCATCTGTAGAATTGGTGGTCTGGTACCGTTGTTGGAGCCTGTATATGGTCCTAACGTGGACTTGAAATTCATTGGCTACTTGCCGGGCGGTTTGCAATCGTCCAAGGGCTTGGTGTCGCTGATTTCTTGTCAATCTTGGCATGTGGTAGCAATTCAATAACGAATGAATGTTATCCGATCTTGGTGGATTTGTATAGGGCAAGAAATGGGGTAACGCGTGTGCATTTCAATTTGCACGGAACTCACGTGCATCGGGTTACCATGGCTGTTGTCGTGATGCGTTTGAGCGATCGGTTTTATTGTCATCTGCTTTGTTTTTCAAATATAATTTTTCCGGACAAGGTAATGTTAAATTTTAGAAACTTTGACAATAATTACCCAGATATTTAAATGACAACTTTTCATGCAATGTTACTTGGGATAGCGTTCCTTTTGCGGTTCAGTATATTATACTTTGGATATGCACCATTCTGAGAGGAAATTAGGAAATTTAAGATTTGTTCCCGAGTTCCGGAGTTCGTTCGTTCGAGTGAGTGAGTGAGTGAGTGAACGCTTTTTTTGCTGAGAGAGCGAGTGAGTTTAACGCCTCTTTGAACTTATTCAGTTATGTATCGAAACGATGCAGGTGAATCCCACAGGCAGATGGTCCGCGGTAAAGATGCTGACGCCGTTCCTCGAGGCGACATGCAGAAGACAATGAACGGTCGTGATTGGACTGAAATGTAGATCATATCACTGAATGTTTGGTGTCCAAATCGTACCATCTGGAACATTATCATGCGATTTTTACACCATGACAATACAACCACGGCCAAATTGATCAAGGGAAATATCATTGTTTCACTCATTCATATGAACACGTTTGATAACTTTCATACCGCTTTCGTCAATCTCTTAACATATAATACTACTCGTTATTTTGTCCTCTCCGTTGCCGAAAGAATATGAGTGAATAAACGGGTAAGAGGGTGTTTTGGTGATTGAAAGAGTGAGAGAGTGAGTTTAACGCCGCTTTTAACAGTATTTCAGTTCACATCTTCCCGAGGCAAAGGGAGGTAACTGACTGTAGAAGTCCAGTTTCCACCCTTGCCGAACTAGGCTGGGCTAGATCGTAGCGCCAACAGTGGCTATTACGAGGTATAACCCTTCTAAACCAATCAGATTCCACCTCTCATATCGTATGCATTTGTTTCAAACAAAATGGCGTCGTCAAGTGAAGACGGTCTGGATGATAATCAAGATCTGTATTTTAACAAAACGGGTCTTACTTCGCGAAGTGCATCAAGTCACTACTACTGGATGCTACAAGAACAGATTTGGAAAATATCTCTTGACGCTGAGTTGACGGCACACATGCTTTGCGAATCCTGCAATTCACCGAAATATGCACGGCAATTTACGAACCGGATGTCGTATCGTTACGCGATTTTGATTGGACCATGCATAGACTCGTTAGTCTTTTTATTAAAAACATTAATGTAAATAAATTATAAATGTTAGGGTCACGACTGCGGGGAAAGTGTGTTGGGATGCTAGTCACGTGACCTGCTGAAACCAGGTCCACTATGGACTACTCTCACTCGTGGCCGAGATGGTAAATATAAAACGTTGCCAGTTACAACCACCAACTGATAAACAACAAACAGAAAGGCCGGAAGCAAGTACAGTAGACTACGGTTAAAACGAACACGCTTATAACGAACTGACGGATATAACGAACTTACTTTTTGGTCCCGACTATTTGCTGTAGTTATGCTGTATATATGCTTATAACGAACTACGGTTATAACGAACTAAAATTAGCAGTTCCTTTGAGTTCGTTATAACCGTAGTGTACATCCGGTTTGGTCGGCCTTGTTTTCACACATGACATTGTAAGTTGGAGCAGTATCCCTCGGCGTATTAACTAGTCACGTGACTTCATTGACTCCTAAACCACTTGCAGCTGTTGCTCTGTAGCGGGATGCAAGATATTTTTTCCGGCTCAGAAATCCACGTGAGCCTGTTTTCTTCGTGGTGGGATATAAGGGAGTGTATGAACATGATGGCAGTTGACAGGTATTTTGAATGTTGATAAAGAGTACTAATTCTGGATAGTATTAATTTGTAATGACTTAATGTGTTTAACTGAAAACTACTTTCAGACATTTTGCTTGAGTTTGTTGTTGATGTTGTTGTTTAACGTCTCACTCAGCAATATTTCAGCTATATGACCGCGGTCTGTAAACAATCGAGTCTGGACCAGACAATCCAGTGATTGATGTCATGAGCATCGATCCACGCAATTGGGATACGATGACATGCATCAAATCAAGTCAGCGAGCCTGACCACCCGATCCCGTTAGTCGCCTCTTACGACAAGCGTAGTCGCCTCTTACGACACGCATAGTCGCCTTTTACGGCAAGCATAGTCGCCTTTTACGGCAAGCATAGTCGCCTTTTACGGCAAGCATAGTCGCCTTTTACGGCAAGCATGCATGGGTTGCTGACGACTTTTTGTAACCGAGATCTTCACGATGTTGCTTGAGTGAGAAACGCGAGGCCGAGACTACACTATATGGAAGTCATTAGGGTTTTCAGAGTTGGATCTGTAAGAAAAAACAAGAATTCAGCATTTGGCTTTTGAGGTGATCTGACAATTTTCTCTCCAGTCAAAACCAATATGGTCAGCTGTGGAGATTCCGGGTTAGAATACGTCCCAAACAACCTATGTTTGTGTTACAGAGAGACTGAATGGATCGGTTGGTAGGGCTTGGTGACTTGGTTTATTGGGTGCCTGGCTTAATCGTGACTCAGGGACGGTGGGGTGGCCCCGTGGATACAGTGTCGTTCGCAAGGCCCGGGTTTGAGTCCCAACATGGATACAATGTGTGAAGCCTATATCTGGTGTCCCCCGTTGTGAAATTAGTGGAATATTGATAAATGCGGCGTAAAACCATAACTCACTCACTAGTCGTGAATCGATTATAAAGATGCCACCTTGGAGTACTGAGTAATGAGGGTGCCAATCAACCCCCCCCCCCCCCCCCCTTCCTTATTCCCGAGTACCATCTAATTGTTCACTCAGAGTCTCATTGCTTAACCATGAATCCCAGTACTACTTAATATCTCTAAAGCAGAAAGAAAAAGGTGCGATGTTGGGTGAAATTACTGAATGAATATCGAAAACAACATAATACATAAGGAATTAATTACCAATATCATTATTTTTTTTAAAAGGTTGAATGTGCATTCCAAATGTCATTTTTTTATTTGCGTCCCACGTGCAACGCTGCCGAGTCCCGAATAAACTCTAAATAGACCCACGTACCCAAAGCGGGTTGGCAATTTAATTAACTCGTTCCAGATGTTTTAGTTTTGCAACGTATTGTGGATTGCTTTAGTTCAAACCACAATATTAATGAATTCTGTCAATTATACGTTTAACACAAATACATAATTTTAAAAACAAAATTTTAATCAAGTTTAAAGTATTTAAAATCCGCTTCCTTTACGCCGTAAACATCCATGTCACGACTATATCCGAAAAGTAAAAAGTCATTTTCAAACATTGCCTTCAGCTGTTCTAAATCACCAGGGTCAAGGTCGCTAAAAGCTTCCATCAGAGCCTCTTTTCTATTGGTTGACTTCCAACTTCCGCTTCCGGAACGATTCCATGCTTCGACTGCCATCTTGTGAAATTCGTTAAACGTAACAGAATTCGATTGGTCCTTCTTCACAGGAAACGTTTCTGATTTATGCAAAATACCTCGCATCTGCCACCGTCGCCAGAGTCGAAGTAGAGCCTCATGAAATGTCATGCATTTGAGTATCCTTTCTTTTCTCATGCCGAAAACATTATACGTGTTTCGTTCCAGCTGCTGAAGATCTGTCCCGGTTTCGATTCCAGACAGGTTGACCTGTTCCTTCAGTTGGGAGACGGCGTTAACAATACGGACCACGTCTTCTCGGAACGTCTCGACGTGGCCGATAAAATCGTAGCGCGTATCACAAAACGAACAGTGCCTACTTACCGGCACAAAATGACTGTCAAATTTCACTCCTTTGCTGTCCATTATGATCAGGTAACGAACAAGTTCCGGAAATGTGACGTCATGGCCACATCTTAGACTGTCTGCAGATGGATTTTGTCGGACTGTTTGCACAATGTTTTTTCCAACCAAATTCCAATAAAATGGGTTTGGTCCGAACAGTTTGTCGACGTATGCTGATAAAAGTCTGGAAAAGGGGTTCCTGACAAACACTATCTTGTTCGTTGTTCTATACTGTGCTATCTGGTTGCTCGGTAGGCTTGAGAGATAGGTCAGCCAGTTTTTGTCAAACGCGGAATGGAAACTGTCCGTTTTTCCTGCTAAAACGCTCAGAACCGATCGCCAAAACATAGAACCAACTTTCGGAATTTCACATAATGAGATGTTGCTCTTTACATTTACGATCAGTTGTTCAGTGTAGTTTAAAAGGGGTTGAAGTCCAGACCGGAGGTTGATGCGGAGTTTGCAGGCGCGTTCAAGACGCTGACGCCGTTCCTCGAACCGATGTGCAGGAGGCGGATGATCGTGATTGGTCTGGAATATATAAACATCATGGCACTGAATGGTTCCGTGTCTAAATCGTATCCCATGGAACGTTTGGCTGTTTGTGTGTTGTTTTACGCCGCACTCAGCAATATTCCAGCTATATGACGGCGGTCTGTAAATAATCGAGTCTTGGAATGGACGCTGAGACCTAATGAGGATCAAGCTCTGTAATCAGCTATCCCATCTTTTCCATGGCTTATTTCAAAATATACCACCTTTGTCCGCATTACACGTACTTTATACCCGGGCTTAAAAACACATCTGTGACGTCATTGTATTGTTTAAACGCTCCAGTATTTTTCAGGAATGTAGTGTTGTTTGTTAACTATACATTATCTTGAACCAATATTTCAATTAATTTTCACTTGGAATTGACGGAACTATTTTTTGAATATTTCGACAAGTGAATGATTTCAAAATTTGTCGGAAAACATGTGTCGCCAGTGGGGTTCGAACCCGCATCGTTTGATTTGTGGTCATGTGATTGTCGACCTCAGCTACGGCGACACATGACGATATGATATTGAATAAATATTTAATATTTTCATAATTTTGCATAATGCATAAAAGCCCTAAAATAATATGCAATGTTCATATTCATAGTAATTAGATCAACCTTCAGGTAAACATATATATATATCCTTGCTCTGGGCTCGATATTTCCTATAATACAATGTGCAAGCGATTGATAAAATACTCGTCTGGGACCTCAAGAAATTATGAAGAGCCGTGTACCATGCATTGTAAATATCAGCTCGCGCCGGAGCTTGGTGCACGTGCAGGAACATATTCCTCGTGCATCACGCAAGGGCGACCCACGCAGTGTATATATAGTCTAGAAAAAAGTTCTCGTTTATTTTTCAAATATTTTCCACAAGAAAAAATATTTTGTTAAAGTGTAAAAGTAGGGATGAGTTTTAAGTTGGGGAATATCCTTGTAACTCTCCATTCCTTCAAAATAATGGGTCTCTGCTCGATTATTTTAAGGAATGGGGAGTAACTCGGACATTCCCCTCAACTCAAATCATGCATCAAGTGCCGTGTGTAGATAAAGATATACTTACTCTTTTCAAAGGCTTCATTCCTTGTGCATGAAGTGAATCTGAAAATATACGTAATCAAGCTACAACATACAAACTCGGACTTTATCTGAAATTACCATTAACGTGTCCCCATGCGTGTGTTTGCTTACGCCACACTCAGCTGTTTGACGGTGGCTTGTTGATAATCGACCAGACAATCCAGTGACGAGCAACGTTCCATGATTCCGGAGCAATCAACCAACTGACCAAGTCTGACCCCCCTATTTAGCCGCCTGGTGTGACTAACGTAGGCTGTCTGGGGACCTGTTACCCGCAGTACCCACGGGGTGTCTCCATGTAATGCTGACACCAGCACATAGTGTCGAGTGAGTGGGTTGGATTTAACGCCGCTTTGAATAGTAACGATACCATCACACCAAAGTGGTTCTATCCCGTTCTAAAACAAATACTAGAAAGGGCTGTGATCACAGTAGAACGCGTAGTTTGGCGTAAAAGACGATGCTAGTTCGTTCATAAGCAGTCCTCAATACGTCTATCTCGTTCTTAGCCAGTCTGCAGTCCGTTTGTAGCCAGTTCAGAATACGTCCAAGCCAGTTCTAACTAATTCTTCACCCGACCAACTCGTTCGCACTACGTCCTCATCTCGTCCCTAGTGTGTGTGTATTCGCGTCCTGGCCCGTCCGGGGCGGTCGGGTAGCCCAGTGGTTAAAGCGTTCGCTCGCCACGCCGAAGACCCAGGTTCGATTTCCGACATGGGAACAATGTGTGAAGCCCATTTCTGGTGTCCCCCGCCGTGATATTGCTGGAATATTGCTAAAAGCGGCGTAAAACCATACTTACTCACTCACTCACTCCTGGCCCGTCCTGGCCCGACTCCTATGGATACCGAGCGTGTTGTAGCCAGTCTTCATTCAAGTTCAGGGCTCCGAGGTGTACACATCATGCCTCCAAAGAGAAGTCGATTCATAAAGACACCTTCTTACGTGTCCCCTTCTTTCTTCCTCTACCATCGCATTGTACTCTTCTTCTGCTTCCGGGGACACGGGTGGCCCAGTCGTCTTAGGCGCCGCGATTCGCTGTGCAGAGTTTCGTCCCTTGGGCACGCCAGAAACCTATGATTGTGGGTTCGAATCCCGGTTCGCCCCAATTATGTTTCTAGGTTTGTCAGCACCATACCCGTGCTCGTGGGTTTCGCCGAAGTGGTAAACGTCTGAGACCTGCATCACTTCGGGCTTTCCATCCACATTAAGCTGACACGCCGTGATATAACTGGAATACTGTTAAAAGCGGCGTTAAACCCAACTCACTCACTCACTCTTCTGCTTCCAGCATAAATTGGTTAAAACCAACATTCAACAGTTAATGTATGCAAAGTTATCCATGGTCCTGGTCACAAATCTTGAAGATCTTCTCGTCAGGAAACGATGTGCACTGCCCGAAATCTCCAGCCCATCCGTTGAACCTGAGACCCTAGCGGTATTTATACCCTAGCTTGTCCTATCGTACTTCACACGGGGTGGTTGCAGTAAGAACTGCGTGAGAACCACACAAACGTACTCAAAACTGGGAGAACGTAACGAGAACCTACTGGGAACTTTCAGAACCATGTAGAGACGTGTTGCCAACTGCTTCACAACTTTATATTTGGTTTAAAAAGTATTTGTTGGAATAAAGATTGACTAAGAACGTAATGCGGTCAAATTGGGTCTGTCACCGAACGGGATGAACGACCCCGGTCGGTGTGCACACGTACTGAAATTCATGTCCGACCACGTCGTAACACGTCACTAGTAGGTTCGAAGTACGGCAATTCCTTTCGTAATACGTCAATATGACTAATTGCAGAACGGGATGGACGGGATAAAATTTTGAGCAGACTTAAAGTTCCAGAGCACCCTCCACGTCCGAGCCCGTCCATGAAGTTCGTAAAAAGACTGTCAATAGTTGCTACTACGTCCACTATGTTCATACACAGTTGGAGCCCGTTCGACAACATTTTCACGAACGTATTAAGAACTAGTTTGGTGTGATGGGGGTATAACGTATCTCGGCGTGTCAGCTCCATGTTGGAAAAAAGTCAAAAGAGTCTAAGACGTTCATCAATTTGGTGAAACCCACAAGCGCGGATATGGCGCTGATCAATCAAGGATCACAATCATGTGTTCTTTTGTTTGTTTGTTTGTTTGTTGTTTAACGTCGCACTCAGCAATACTCCAACTATATGACGGTGGTCTGTAAATAATCGAGTCTGGACCAGAAAATCTAGTGATTGACATCATGAGCAGCGATCCACACGATTGGGATACGATGATATGCATCAACCAAGTCTGACCACCCGACTGTTGCCTCTTACAACAAGCATAGTCGCCTGTTACGACGTAAATTGTAATAAAAAGGTAAATTGTAATAACAATGTAAATTGTAATAAAATTTGACGTAAATTGTAATACGCAAATTGTAATATAAAATGACGTAAATTGTGATAATCTCAACTTGCGGTAAAATGTAAAAACTTTTTACGTAAATTGTAATAACCTTATAAGTTTAGTGTCAAAGGCGTTAAGTGACTAGAACCTATCCTTGTCAGGGTTGGTACAGGGTTTATCGTACAATCGTCATTAAAGTATGGGTGTGGGGGAGGATTGAGGTCGTTATCGTACATCGTTGTATAATTATATGTATATATAAACGCATTGGAATTTCATTTCTATGGTTGGCCAGGAGAGGACTAATTACTAGAATGAACTTAGTTTTCTTATTTATTTGAGAAATACTCTGTGTGTTTTGTACTTAATTGTAACATATCCTATTGACGATTTTCATCATAATTATAACGTAACAAACTTACACAAATATATTGATGTGTTAATGTGGAAAGTCTGACTTTTACTGACTGAAGCAAATTTATTTATTTTGCAACTGTATATTTGTACATATTTTATGCGGGTAGGGGTTTACTAAGTTGCAAGAACTTGTCCCCAATACAATTCTCATTTTGCTCTGTGAATAAAATATGTTTAAACTAAACTAAACTAGCAAATGGATGACATGTCATTCTGCAGTAGTCTGTGTGCAAGCTGATTTATACATGTTCATGTACATAATATCAATTTATTATTATTCAAGTTTCAATTTTGTTAACGTTGCTCGGAGGATGTAGAGCAAATAATGACAATGTCCTGGGCGATGTACATGTAGGTATGTGAACCCGCAAGGACTAACTTTATCAATTATTTTACGTGCAGCTTGTGTCTGTCTGTTAGAATGATACTCTAGCAACTGTACACATCGAAATTTATGACTGAAAGATCCATCCTCGGGTTACAAATGATGGATTACATTAGGTACGTCTATTCGACAAATAGGTTAATTGATTTATCATCCAATAGTAGCTCAGCTAGGAGTCCATTGCAATAACATTGAGTTACGAGTTACCGAAGAGAGCTCTGGTAACCGGCACCTGAAATTATGTCGATTTGCATTGAACGTTTACTTAATTTGATAAGGAGCACATAACGAGACAATTCAATCGTATTTATACCTTATATTTTGACGAAGAATTCAAATACAACAAATGAGTGACAGATCTCCTGTGCAATGTCAAAGGAAAAAAAACAGTCGTCAGCAAATGCAGCATAGATTTCCCATGCATGGGGAAGGAGAATACTTAATACATAACATTATATACTATGTTTTTTTTAATATCAAAAGAGGGGCGTGGATATTCTTTACCTATACTATTAGATATTGTGTATTCTCGATCTCTGTCAACTTCTCACAGATAAAGAAATAATAAGAAAGAAGTGAGCAAAGCTTACATAACCCCGCTATCCCCGCTGGTCAACAACAAATAGAAAATAGTTTCTTAATTAATGAAATAATACATATTTCTAACTGATTTTAACTTCAATGTTTTAAAAAGATTGAGTTCCAGTGACAACTGACACACTCACCCCCCCTACATGTGTGGAAACAATTTTGGAAAATATATTAGCCATACAAAACCAGTCATCAAAATTTCTTAATTCCATCATGTTTCCATGAAAACAGCAAAAGAGAAAACTTTCAGAATCTTATAAAAGATATAAAAAAAAACGATCATAGTGGTTAATGTAGCAAGTTTGCTGAAGCTAGGATACATAATATTGTAAACATGGAAATTTATGTTTCTCCATGATTCCAAGAAAACGGCAAAAATAAAAAAAAATCAGAATCTTTAAACTAGCAAAAGGCACAAGTGCTCATTGTGGTAAATGTGTGTAGCAAGCTTTATAAAGCTAGGATGCATAGTTAAAAAGATATGGGCTGTACAAAACACCCACCAAAGTTTAAGTTTCTTAATGTGTCCATGGAAACGGCAAAAATTAAAAAGTTCAGAATCTTCGAACGAGCAAAGGGCTCAAGTGCTCATTGTGGTAAATGTGTGAAGCTAGGATGCATGGTTAAAAAGTTATGGGCCGTACAAAAGCTCGGACGGAAGGACGGACGGAAGGAACGCTATATACTCCCGACTTACTTCGTAAACGGGGGCATAATAATTAATAAATGCAAACCATGTTAACTTATGCAATATTTGGAGCAATGTATGATTAACATATGGATCATTAATATAACATAAAATATTTCCTTTCATAGGAAGAAGTATATTTAATGAAATAAATGAATAAATGTAACTGTCTGGATTCCTTTCATATTTCATGAAGAACTAACAACAACTTACTGACAACTTTTGCTGCGATAATAACTCCTTGCCCCAACAACAAAAACAGAATCCATCATGATAACGGCACGAAATCATAATTCAAAGCATACACAAATAATATCCGGTATCTTCGGGCATGTCTTGTTGAGTTTCAAAGAGCATCAGAATGTATAATAAATTTGGCGCAATCAATTATTGCTGAAATATATCTGTTTTGATCAAAATTGAAAGGATGGAAAATCTATAATGAAAAGGGTTTTGTTACTAACGTAAATATTCTCTTTGACCTTTTATACGAAGAGTATTCTAAGATCATTAAACTCGGCAATCGTTGGTGGATTGCGCCAAGCAACCTTCATACCAAATTTGGTACCTCAGGTATAATGCGGTACATAATTCTCGAAACAGATAATTACGTTTTTCATAAGTTATCACTAATTTGTGATACACTCACTCAAAAAAGAAACGCAACCCCAGTCTGAAAATGTGAGAAGACCCCAAGAAGAAAAATATTGATTGTAAATACAATTTTTCTGATATGCACTTATACCATGTACACTGTTTATTAACGTAAGCGCCCAAACACACCAGTTTTCGTGCACAAGGGCATTTTATTGTTACTTTTATCATAGTGAGCAAACTGCCAAAAGCCTCATGCCACGTATCTATAGAAGAGGAAACGAACGTTTTGCCCCGAACTGTGTTCGACAGGTCGACAGATATGGAGGAGGGAGCGCCATGGTGTGGGGAACCATGTCTTACAACCAAAGATCAGACTTGGTGATCATTCGTGGCAATTTGACAGCCCAGCGCTATATCAATGATGTCTTACAGCCTCATCTTCTGCAGATTATCGACCAACAGAGGGAGCTCTATCAACACGACAACGCCCGGCCGCACACTGCTTATGCAACAGTGAATTTTCTCCAGAATTCTAACGTCAACGTGTTACCATGGCCCTCCCGATCAACAGCCATCAACCCAATCGTACATCTTTGGGATTATCTGGACCTACAAGTATGTGCACGTACACAGCCGCCGCAGACGTTGGATGCACTAGCCGTTGCACTGCAGGAGGGGTGGAGAGCAATCCCTCAGGAAAGAATCCAGCGTCTAATCCGTTCTGTTCCTAGGAGGCGTAATGCTGTGATCGCAGCTCGTGGCGCTCATACGAGGTACTGAGAAAGGCGCCCCCTTGCGTCAAGTCAATCTTAGTGAGAGAACTGTCGAAGTCTCGACTTAAACTTGCATAACTGTACTGCCACCATGCCAAATTTCATATTGTTGTCTTCAATGATAAATGTGTTATAATAACTTGAATATTGAGATAAACATCTTGAGAATATAGGGATTGCGTTTCTTTTTTGAGAGAGTGTATATATACGGACAAAAATTACCTCAGAGGATAATCTTCTCTGGGGGTTTAAAAGGATTAAAATAATTCCATCTAACATCAAGCACTGTAATAAAATATTGAAATTATAGCATACCTTCTTAACATTCCAATGAAAAGAATAGTGACTAACTAAGAAACCAAATTATATTTATTTCCGATACTATGCCCTCATCAGTATGCACACACACACACACACACACACACACACACACACACACACACACACACACACACACACACACACACACACACATACAAACACATACACACATAGGTATGTATGTGTGTGTTTGTGTGTGTTTATGTATGTATGTATGTATATATTTATGTATGTTTGTATGTATGTATGTATGCCAGTAAATACACACATAGGTATGTATGTGTGTGTTTATGTATGTATGTATGTATGTATGTATGTATGTATGTATGTATGTATGCCAGTAAATACACACATAGGTATGTATGTGTGTGTTTATGTATGTATGTATGTATGTATGTATGTATGTATGTATGTATGCCAGTAAATACGACCTCTATATGTCATTGGTATCAGATCTATGACTGCACTTATACACATAGTTCCAAGTGAAAGATGAGTGACACTACTTTGTGAGAGGTCCCACAAAAATGCTGATATGAGCAATTAAAGGTTATACAAAATGTAACAAATGAACAAAGTAAGATATTTTAAAAGATAAAATAGAAACACAAACCTGTAGATATACGAATTAGAATGTAGCAAATACATTAGATGAACGTATATTCTTCGTAGATAATACGTTTTTCATTTTTTATCATTAATTAGAGACGGACAATAACCCCCTGAAAGCATAACCTCCTCTGGGGGTTTAAGAGGATTAAAGTCATTCCAACAAACAACAAGCACTGTAATGAAATTACAACATACTTTGTTAAAATTCTGATGAAAAGACTAGTAACTATCTAAGAAACCAAATCATACTGTTGCTGCGATACTTGGGCCTCATCAGCATAGACACACAAACACAAACATACACAAACACACACGCACACACACACACGCACGCACGCACGCACGCACGCACGCACACACACACACACACACACACACACATACCCATACAAAAACAACCCCACACAAACACTATGACGTAGATGGTAGTATCTTCTACGTAGATGATAGCATGCCACAAACATCACATCACTTCCAATAAACGTTTTTGACGATGTTGACACCACCCTTCAATGACGATTGTACGATAAAGCCTATACCAACCATCCCTAACTTAACAGTTTTGTACGTTTGTCATCATACACAGTATTTCTCGAATTGTACATGTGAAACGCAAGCTCAACTGACAAAGATCATTTCTAGTCAATTGGCGTCTTGGACAATACGGTTGTAAGGTTATTACAATTTACGTAAGAATTTATTACATTTTACCGCAAGTAGAGATTATTACAATTTACGTCAATTTTTATTACAATTTGCGTATTACAATTTACGTCAAATATTATTACAATTTACGTTGTTATTACAATTTACGTCAAAACTATTACAAATTGCTGCAAGTATTACAATTTACCTTTGTATTACAATTTACGTCGTAACATCGCCTTTTAGAGTGAGTGAGTGAGTTGGATTTAACGCCGCTTTTAACAGTATTCCAGTTATATCACGGCGTGTCAGTTAATTGTGGGAGGAAAGCCCGAAGTGATGCAGGTCTGACGTTTAACACTTCGGTGAAACCCACGAGCACGGGTATTGTGCTGACAAACCTAGAAACATGATCGGAGCGAATCGGGATTCGAACCCACAATCATAGGTTTCTGGCGTGCCTAAGGGACGCAACTCTGCACAGCGAATCGCGGCGCCTTAGACGACTGGGCCACCCGTGGCCCCTAGTTGCCATTTAGAGCAAGCATGGGCTGTTGAAGGTCTAATCTAACCCGGGTCTTCACGGGTAGGATCAAAATCGGGGCGAATCGGGATTCGAACCCACGATTCAAGATTCCCTAAGGGGGCCATATGGAAGGCTTGTCTGGAGGTTTTTGTACGTAACTGCGCTGGGAGTATGAATATCGACGAATAGGTTCCCTGTTTAAGGCTCCGGACCACGGAGGGATTCAGGGTTCACATATAGTTCGAGTATAAAGGATCGGGTGGTCAGGCTCGTTGATGGTTGATTGTATGTATTTGTGGAAATCGATGCTCATGATGTCAATCACTTGTTGTCTGGTCCAGATTATTTACAAACCGCCGTTATATGGCTGGAATACTGCTGAGTGCGGCGTAAAACAACAAGCAAGGCTCCCAGGTATTTCTACTAACACTCCATGGTGTAAACCTCAGTCAGTTCATTAGTGAGATTGGACGGTCAACTATGACAGAACGCCCCTTGAAAACGTAATGTGTGATTTTTCTTTTGTAAAGTGTTCGCAGTTCAGGTGAAACGTTTGGAATATTGGACTTTCTTGTCTTCTCTCGTCGCAAATTTCTGATACGGCGTTAAGCAGCATTCACTCACTCACCCTCTCACCTGTATTCTCCTGGGGATACATGACTGTGATGAAGATGATTACAGCAACAGCCAGGACAACAGCCCGTCGGAGGCGTCTGAAAGCACGCGGCCGGGTGCACAGCCATCGGACTAGGAGCACAAACACGGTAATTAGGGAGCGGACACACAGTATGGAAGACTCTGAAAGATGCTCTCGTGATATCGGCCTTGGAAACAAGCTGCATATGCGAGAAGGCGAAATCGTGTGAACGAGAGATTTTGGCCAAAAGGAGAAAGTGACCTTTACAGTATTCCATAGTTACAGAAATTCCCGTTTGACAGAAAAGGTCCCCAGCACTGCATGCTTATCGTAGGAGTCGACTGTTAATGTGATAAAAGTGTATCCCATCGTACCCAGACGCGGATTATTGCTAAAAATAGCAGCCACTGGCGTGCTTTGACGAGTGAATGAGTAAGTATGGTTTTACACCGCTTTTAGCAATATTTCAGCAATATTACGGCGAGGGACCCCAGAAATGGGCTTCACACATTGTACACATGTGGGGAATCGAACCCGGTTCTTCGGCGTGACGAGGGAACGCCTTAACCACTAGGCTACCCGACCGCCCCCGTACCTTGAAGAACGTATGGTGGCGGTGAAATTGCTGTAATAATTCTGCCTGCGGCGTGGGACAACATTCATTCACCTCATAAATAGGTGAGTCAGTATTGTTTTACGCCGCGGATCATGGTGCATGTACACGAGAAATCGAACCCAGACTGCTGCATGACAAGCCAACGCTTTACCCACCATGCTACCCCACCGTCGCCTTCATGTAGCTGGATTTGACGGAATCATGTTACACTGGCGTCAACAATAGCGTCAAAGTTATCATCCTAATTCATCAATACACTGAATGCCCGCCTGTCTGTACAGCTCGTTCCGTTTCAACCAGCCTCTCGCACAGCCTGTATCTTTGTACCACCGATCATAGAGGTACATGGTGTATATTTACAGTCAAACGGATCTCGCGCGTTTGAAAACACCAGTCAGCGTTATTTATATGACCAAATAACTAACAAATAAATACTAAATCCTACACAAGACACTCTAAGGTGACGTCTTCACAAGTCCGAATAATTTTCATGCAACAGCGAATGTACTGTGTACATGAATTAGAATATGTCATCACTGGTACTACGTATCGACAATTGTCAAATAACTGCTCAGAAAGTTATTAAAGAAAAAGGTAAAAAATACACATTTCTTACCCAAAACCATGTTTACGACATCAAGGAAACGAAGGTGCCTGATCCAAGATGGCGACGGCAATTAAATATGTTTGTCAATACCTGAGTCGATAGCCTCGTATACACGTATACGCTCGTACACTGTGATGTGGACTGAAGACTCGACCGTATGAGCCGTTACCTGCGAGATTACACAAATACCTGAGTTATAACAGGTCTCGACTGTTATGCAACTAGGCGACATTAAAATTTTCGACTTCAAGTCCAAGTAACTATTTCTGTTGTTGACACATGAAATCTACAAAAGCCAAGAGCAAGTTTACGACATGTCGATAGTCGACACAGCTGGCTGCAGGGTGATTGGTGAGGCGGGATTGACTGTTCGACTCTCCGTCTCTCGTGCACACTCGCAAGCTAACGGTACAGCTGATTGTAGGTTTGGTATTGTTCTTCAATACATCGCAGTAATGTATTTGTCTGTGGGCTATATCCATTGTATATAGAACACATGTGTGTGATTTGGTTGGTTTGTTGTTTGTTGCTTGCCGCCTCAGCAATATTGCAGCTATATGACGGCGGTCTGTAAATACTCGAGTCTGGACCAGACAATCCAGTGATCCACGCAACTTGGATCGATGACATGCATCAACCAAGTCAGCGAGCCTGACCACCCAATGCTGTTAGTAGCCTCTTAGGACAATCATATTCACCTTTTACGGCAAGCAACCTTTTCCGAGCTGACCATTCCTTGTTTTAGCCCCTTAACGCCGAGCGCCAGACAGGGTAACAACAAGTACCATCTTTTAACGTCTTTTGGTATGACTTGGCCGGGGGTCGAACCCCAGACCTTCCGCTCTCCGGGCGGACGCTCTACCACAAGACCACGGAGGCAGCCTCCCAGTGAAAGAGGGTGAGCGTTTTTGTAGCGCAAGCCCACCACGGCACACACGCTCGTTTGGTGATTATTTACAACATTAGGCACTGAGAGACAAATGGGATATAACATAATTATAGTGTTATATCCTATATAACATAATTATAGTCACCCAATAGCTGTGTCGAACAGACTGTGCAGTGAAAAGCGACATACATACAATTGCAATTTGATATAGCTAAATCCGCACGGCGATGGAAAATCGTTTCTAGGCAACATATTGCCAATTGAACGTCCAATAGTTCTTACAAAAGCCGTTGGGCCCAGGGTCACCTGCAACACATGCTTGTGTTGACTCATGGATCGGTTGATCAGGTCCGGCGACTGGGTTGATTGTGTGGCATCGTAGGATCGTTGCTCGCAATATCAATCATTAGATTGTTACAACGTTAACGAATATACCCATGTCACAGTCTAGTGACCCACAGGAGTCCGTATCTAAAAATAGACGCCCTCATGCATATTCATGACCATCTCCACAAGCGAGCCTGAAGGGCGATGAATATGCATGAGGGCGTCTATTTTTAGATACGGACTCCTGTGAGTGACCTCTCTGCTCCCCGGCTTTATTTCCGACACCGCTCGGCAAAGTCCGGCTGTCGTCATTGAACATTGTCATTACATTCTGTGTTAGCGGGAATTCGTGGCCCGACTATTTCATTCTCTTGTGATTTAATGATACTCTCGTGCCATATATTGGCTCGATGTATGTTATCTACCTTATCACTACCTTATTCTTGTTTTGAAAAGACCGCCTCCGTGGTCTAGTGGTAGAGCGTCCGCCCGGAGAGCGTAAGGTTTGGGGTTCGATCCTCGGCCGCGTCATACCAAAAGACGTTGAAAGATGATACTTGTTGTTACCCTGTCTGGCGCTCGGCATTAAGGGGCTAAAACAAGGACTGGTCGGCTCGGAGTCAGTATTCTGTGTCTGAGCGGGGTATTCATGTTAAACTCCGACATGGTATCTCAGTGGACAATGAATCGGCACACACATGCAAGTCGCTATATAAGTGCAATAATCGTGGACGCAAGGGGCGGTCGGGTAGTCTAGTGGTTAAAGCGTTCGCTCGTCACGCCGAAGACCCGGGTTCGATTCCCGACGTGGGTACAATGTGTGAAGCCCATTTCTGGTGTCCCCCGCCGTGATATTGCTGGAATATTGCTAAAAGCGGCGTAAAACCATATTCACTCACTCACTCACTTGGACGCGATGTTAAACCCAATTTCACCTCACCACCTTGTATTGAAAATGTTTTCGTATGATTTTCAAGCACTAGTGGAACTATATGGACACTCAAATATTTCTCATGTATTTAAGATTATATTTGCCTCATCAATAATTGTACATAGCTTGATGTAATTCTTTAATGATACCGGGGGAGAGCTTATGTTCACTTCATTTAGATACTCACATCTTCAGTATGGATATAGTAGTTTGTTTTCTATTCGTGTTAACCCCATACTTAGATACACACGTTGGGTAAGCGCCTCAGACTATTGTATTTACCCGGCTGTCCAGGAGAGTTTGAGAGTTTGAGAGTATGATTTATTCAGTGGTTTATGGTCCTTGCTTCACTTGTACGCACGCACGCACGCACGCACGCACACACACACGTTACAATAAACGTGACGCCACGTTAAAGTTAAAAAGTACACTGGAAAACCGTTTCCATTTACTGTGCGAAAGACATGCAAAAAGAGTGGTTTCACAGTAAATTATTAAAATAATGTAGTTAAAAAAGCTGCAATATCAAATTACACGTACATGCACATAAAGGGTCAAAGTAAAATGGTTTACAACAGCAACCATATTTAAAAACGTTCTTGAATTATTTTTAGATACGTTAGTGGCCTCTAACTCCAGATAAACTGTGTATTTGAGTAAAATATGCACAATAAATTCCCACACCCATCAATATTGAGTTGTTTGCGTACAAACATGGCTGCCAAGTCGGCCATATTTGAAATCTGTTCTTACGATGAAAAACGCGTCACGTGATAACAACTACATTTGAACCTTCTGTAGATGTGAGGTGAGTTTGAATATGTGTGCATTACCAGTGGGACATTAAACATGAACGGGAATACTCTTTATTTCTTCATATATTCTATAATTACACTGCATATGAAACAATAACACTAATATACATGTAATATCAGAACGTAAAAAATACAATTAAAAATCAGACTATGTACCTGTCCTACGCATATTGGCAGGCCTTCACAGATCTGCACCTTGACATACGCATATTGTCATGCATTCACAGCTTTGCACCTTGACTTTCGCATATTGGCACGCATTCACAGCTTTGCACTTTGACATACGCATATTGGCATGAATTCACAACTATGCACATTGACATACGCATATTGGCATGCATTTACAACTATGCACCTTTACATACGCATATGTGCATACATTCACAGCTTTGCACCTTGACAAGGGCATATGTTCATACATTCACAACTATGCACCTTGACATACACATATTGGCATTCATTCACAGCTTTGCACCCTGACATACGCAGTTGTGCATACATTCACAGCTTTGCACCTTGACAAGGGCATATGTGCATACATTCACAACTATGAACCTTGACATACGCATAGGGGCATACATTCACAGCTTTGCACCCTGACATACGCAGTTGTGCATACATTCGCAGCTTTGCATCTTGACATACGCATAGTGGCATGCATTCACAGCTTTGCATCTTGACATACGCAGTTGTGCATACATTCGCAGCTTTGCATCTTGACATACGCATAGTGGCATACATTCACAGCTTTGCACCTTGACAAGGGCATGTGTGCATACATTCACAACTATGAACCTTGACATACGCATAGTGGCATACATTCACAGCTTTGCACCCTGACATACGCAGTTGTGCATACATTCGCAGCTTTGCATCTTGACATACGCATAGTGGCATGCATTCACAGCTTTGCACCCTGACATACGCATAGTGGCATGCATTCGTAGCTTTGCATCTTGACATACGCATAGTGGCATGCATTCACAGCTTTGCATCTTGACATACGCATAGTGGCATGCATTCGCAGCTTTGCATCTTGACATACGCATAGTGGCATACATTCACAGCTTTGCATCTTGACATACGCATAGTGGCATGCATTCACAGCTTTGCATCTTGACATACGCATAGTGGCATACATTCACAGCTTTGCATCTTGACATACGCATAGTGGCCTGCATTCGTAGCTTTGGATCTTGACATACGCATAGTGGCATGCATTCACAACTTTGCATCTTGACATACGCATAGTGGCATGCATTCGCAGCTTTGCATCTTGACATACGCATAGTGGCATACATTCACAGCTTTGCATCTTGACATACGCATAGTGGCATACATTCACAGCTTTGCATCTTGACATACGCATAGTGGCATACATTCGCAGCTTTGCATCTTGACATACGCATAGTGGCATGCATTCGCAGCTTTGCATCTTGACATACGCATAGGGGCATGCATTCACAGCTTTGCATCTTGACATACGCATAGTGGCATACATTCGCAGCTTTGCATCTTGACATACGCATAGTGGCATGCATTCGCAGCTTTGCATCTTGACATACGCATAGTGGCATACATTCACAGCTTTGAATCTTGACATACGCATAGTGGCATACATTCACAGCTTTGCATCTTGACATACGCATAGTGGCATGCATTCACAGCTTTGCATCTTGACATTCGCCTAGTGGCATAAATTCACAGCTTTGCATCTTGACATACGCATAGTGGCATACATTCACAGCTTTGCATCTTGACCTACGCATAGTGGCATGCATTCACAGCTTTGCATCTTGACATACGCATCGTGGCATGCATTCGCAGCTTTGCACCTTGACATACGCATATTGGCATGCATTCGCAGCTTTGCACCTTGACATACGCATTTTGGCATGCATTCACATCTTTGCACCTTGACCTACGCATATTGTCATGCATTCACAGCTTTGCACATTGACATACACATATGTGCATGTATTCACATCTTTGCACCTTGACATACGCATGTTGTCATGCATTCACAGCTTTGCACATTGACATACGCATTATGGCACGCATTCACAGCTTTGCACCTTGACATACGCATGTTGGCATGCATTCACAGCTTTGCACCTTGGCATACGCATATTGGCATGCATTCACAACTATGCACATTGACATGCATTCACAGCTTTGCACCTTGACATACGCATGTTGGCATGCATTCACATCTTTGCACCTTGACATACGCATATTGGCATGCATTCACATCTTTGCACATTGACATACGCATATTGAAATACTGGCACCCTACGCATATTGAAATACTGGCATACAGACAATTGTTTACACATACAACCCTCGCCTTCAGAGCAGCCGCATATCCGGATTCATGATTTTTTTTCAAAAATACCTCTCACATCAAAGAATCTAAAATCAGACTCTGATTGTTCAAAACTACCAAACACACTTTCAGGCATAGCTTCGTATCCAAACATTTCAAACTGAGGCTCAAACATACTTTTAAGTTTCAATTTCGTTTGAAGAGTCAAAGTGCTGTAGGCCTCTCGTAGCGCCGCTTTCTTTGCCTTTGACAACGTCTTGGGATCTGATGACGCCCGCGCCATGACAGCATATGCATGAAGCCGTTCCGAGGTCAGGTCCCTGTCGTCATCACGGAACGGAAACTCAAACTTGGTTTCAAGAAACCCTCTGATCTTCCATCGTCTCCAAGTCAGCTTTAGGGCCTCTCGTAACGAGACCCCACAGTCTAAGATACCCTTTAATCTACTTGTAAAAATATTGTAAGAATTTCTGTACATCATTTCCTCGATGCCATGGAAACCCTCTTTCCGGATGACGTCACTGGTTCGGTTGTGTTTCAGCGCTCCGATCCGTTTACTCACGAACATCATATCCTCAAGAAACGTTTCCATTTTCCCAATGTAATCATACTTCATTCGACAAAACGCACATCTATGGTGGATGGGTTTGAAATGATTGTTAATGCTCTGTTTACTTTCATATTGATATAAAATATACTCCACAAATTCAGCGAAAGTTGCATCTATCCCGCACTGAATATTCGGACGCTTCTGCCCTTTGAACCGGATATCCTGTATGATATGTCTGCCCATGATGCGCATATAGTCCGGATTGGTCGAGAAGATCTTATCAACGTATCCAGATAGGAGTCTTGAGTATGGGTTTCTGACAAACGCTATTTTCAAAGTTGCGCCATATTCTTCCTCCGACAGTTTCCACGTTGCGACACTTGGCTGGATATTACCGACTGTTGATTGTTCAAATGCATTGAAATAGCGACCCCAAAACATGGAGCCAACCTTTTCAACAAAACACATTGTGACATTATGTTGAATGTAGGTCTTCCGTCCATCTTGTTTGACGTTTGTTGGCATGGCAACACCATGAAGGAAAGACCCTGCCTTTGCGCATGCCCAGTCATATATCTTCCTTCTGCCAGCAAACCGTCGTTCCAGAGCGTTCATCACTTCTGGTTCCAAGCCGTCCGTGCTGTAATGTATAGCTTCATGGTCCTGCAAGTAACAAATGGTTACAAAAAGGCTTTCCTTTCCAAATTGGTTGAATTCAAGACTACAGTCAATCAGAACTAACCAGACAATGTTATTCTACCATTCTTCGGAAAAGTATATAGTGAGTGAGTATTGTTTTACACCCCTTTTAGCAACATTCCAGCAATATTGGTGCTTCACACATTGTACCCATGTGAGGAATCGAACCCGGGTCTTCGGTGTGACGGGCGAACGCGTTAACCAATAGATTACCCCCCACCCCACCCCACCCCACCCCACCCCACCCCACACACCTCCATAAAAGTATAGAACGTTAACTGTAGAAAATTAAAAAAACACACTAGATTTTCCCACGAAAAAGTAAAAGTAAAACAGCGGTGAGACTGGTAGATACGTTAATACTCCACGAGAGCAGAGATTGTGCAATAGTTGCAACCAAAGATATGTCGAGAATGAATATCATTTTTTATTAATTTGTAACGCTTATGATGAACTTCGTCTTCAGTATTTACCACAGAAGTATTTTGTACATCCTACTCTTGCTAAATTCAATATGGTTATGGCGGTAAACAATGAAACTGTCATTAGAAATGTTGCAACTTTTATATACCATGCTATGAATGTTAGACTCCAAACACTAAGCCTATAAATGTTAATGATGGACCAAATATTGTACCATGGGCCGCTGGCCTACACATGTACATGAATAAAGAATTGAAACAGCGGTGAAAATATGAATGGTGCCCTGTGCACTACCGGTAGCACCCGACACTCGCACAACTTGCACTAAAAAAGTGTGTGATTGTAATCTGGCAAGGCGACCAAGGCGACAGCTGGCATCAGACTGGACATAGGATGGTTTCAAACAAGTGTCATATGACTCATATCACTGGCGGATCCAGATAGGGGTAGAAGGGGTTCGCATCCCCTATTTTCAGACCCATTACGTGTTACATTCGCTCTCGGCCAGGTCACTTCGTGGTATAAGTATTATGTGCACGTCTCATTTGGGCAAACCCTGGATCCGCCCCTGCATATGAATATACACGAGCCTGAGACACCTCTCGCCCACGGTCTCAACCCGCCCCAAACGATCTGTCCGATGTTAAAGGTATTATTTGGGCGAACGGGAATGCCATATTATTTTATTATTTGCTTGTATTGGTTGGTTGCATATGATTATGTCGGATAAACGAAATTAAGTTGTATCAGCGTTCGTGATCGAAAATCGGACAACTTCACGATAGATAACGATACAAACACGTTGTAATTGAAAAATGAATTATTCATATTGTTATGTTACATTGCTGAATATGTTTACTAATCATACAAACTCAAAACTACGGTTAGGGCTGTATGACTGATTCAAAATATTATAAAAAGCATAGTCTGGAATGGAAGTCGACAGTTTGAAACTACTGCCGCAAAGCTCAAGAAAACTGCTTTCTTAGTGGCTAATGTCGACTTCCTGTTAGTCATTTCATTGGTCGGTCAAAGTTCGCGAAAGGTCGTTCTGATGTGACCTGTAATGGGATGTCCTCAGGGTATAATTATTTGATATCAGTATTCTTTCCACGTGCTTGTGGCGGGCGCCACCGATGGGGCGGGATATTCTCACTTTTCGTTAATACCTGGTATTTTTTCATAACAATTCATAACCACATGCTTTTGATTTTGTCGGAATCGTACAGCGGCCTCTGCTTTTGGCAGAGATTACTTTTGATTATGGAAAGGGCTTTTTGTGCATTTATTTAAACGAGAATGGCCATCTCCCTTCTCACGTTCCCAGGCATGGGAACTGTGTATTTGTGAGTAAATGTACCTTTAGTAATTGACGGATGTCCCTGTGAATAACATGGGCCCACCGGGCCTTGTAATCTGAAGATGAAAACAAAATGAAAAGTAAAAAAATATTGTTAAAAACAAACATTATTTTCGGGACCAACTCATGCCAATCCGGTTACGGAAAGATTCGAGTGGTGATTGGTTGGTTCCACTATGATTGGTCAGATCCAGTATGATTGGTCAGTTCCAGTATGATTGGCCAGTACCATTATGATTGGCCAGTTCCAGTATGGATGGTCAGTTCCAGTATGATTGGTCAGTCCAGTATGATTTGTCAGTCCCAGTATGATTGGTCAGTCCCAGTATGATTGGTCAGTTCCAGTATGAATGGTCAGTTTCAGTATGATTGGTCAGTCCCAGTATGATTGGTCAGTTCCAGTATGATTGATCAGTTCAAGTATGGATGGTCAGTCCCAGTATGATTGGTCAATCCCAGTATGATTGTCCAGTCCCAGTATGATTGGTCAGTTACCGTATGATTGGTCAGTTCCAGTATGGATGGTCAGTTCCAGTATGGATGGTCAGTTCAAGTATGATAGGTCAGTTGCAGTATGAGTTCGTCAGGAGTGGAATGATCCCGGTAGAGCTCGATTTAAACTGAAAAGGCGCCTTGGTGAAATGAGAGATTCAGACCTGCTTCATTTAGGGATTTGCACAACAGAAAGACCTGGCCAGAAGGGACATGATATGGTTCAGGGACTGTAAGACCAACCTTCTTTTCTATACCTTCTTGTCGTTTCCGCCTTTGGACGTTTTAAAGGGGTTCCGGTTTACTAAGTGTAACACTATAACAAAACTGCATCTTACTCATTTTGTGATGAGTCAACACAATTAACACGGCTAATGCAAACTCGCTGATTAATATCTAGCACTTGTGACTAACTGATGCAAACAAAATGCACCCATCCCTTTTTCCAAAAGGCTCTGTCCGCGCTTGTATGAGGTTTAAGGTTACTTCTTACTTGTTGTCATGGCGACGTAGACTACAGTCATGGAGGAGATGAAGCAGAGGAAGATGATGAGTTGGGAAAGACGCTGTAACCTCTGACCTCGTCTCATTCTGTAGGGACATCGAAGGGCATCAATACATGAATTAAATTTTAAAGGAAAGTAACTGTACATGTTTGTTTGTTGTTTAACGCCGCACTCAGCAATATTCCAACTATTGACGGCGATCTGGCAATAATAGAGTCTGGACCAGACAATCCAGTGATTGACACGACGAGCATCGATCTACGCAATTTGGATACGATGTATGACAAATTGTGTTAATTTGCAAAAGGTTGTGATAAAAGTAAATGAAACATCAAAATATTGAAAAAAAGACACCATGTCCCGTATGGGCCACCGTACAATCCGCCTCTGACGCACGAACTAGTGTTAGAAAGTATAACTGTTAAATACAAATACCTTTAACAAACAACAGATGTAGTGGTCCCCCACAATGAATACATACGTACGAGTATATGTTTCCGCGTGGGCTGACCAACTCGAAGATTTCATTACTTCCTGGAAACATGCTTCTTAACGTAGATACTGTTTCTATGGTTTTATTTGTTTGTTGTTTAACGCCCCACACTCGATCTTCGCAATTGGGATACGATGACATGCATCAACCAAGTCAGCGAGCCTGACCACCTGATCCTGTTAGTAGCCTCTTAGGACAAGCATATTCACCTTTTACGGCAAGCATGGGTTCTACCCCGGATCTTCACAGGTCAGCGGGAGATGTATTGACAACTGAAAAATAATAATTATTGAGAATATGCTTGTCGACTAACGTGATTGGGTGGTCAGGCTCGCTGACTTGGTTGATGCATGTCACCGTATCCCAAGTGTGTGGATCAATGCTCATGATGTCAATCACTGGATTGTCTGGTCCAGACTCGATTATTTACAGACCGCCTTCATATTGCTTGAATATTGCTGAGTGCGGCGTTAAATAACAAACAAACAAACAACCCTAAACCCCGCCCCTTTCACAGAACAGTGGTTACCATGCCCCCTCATATTCGTCCATCGTTCGTTTACGAAAACCGGTATGGTTTGGCTGAGGCAGTTCTTCCAGTTCCACGACTAGTTTTCGTTTCGATCTGAAATCCTTTCTCAAATTTAGATGAGTGAGTGAGTGTGGTTTTACGCCGCTTTTAGCAATATTCCAGCAATATCACGGCGGGGGACACCAGAAATGGGCTCCACACATTGTACCCCTGTCGGGAATTAAACCCGGATCTTCGGCGTAACGAGCGAACGCTTTAACCACTAGGCTACCCGCCCGCCTCAAAATTTAGATGATATGAATTACTTATAAATTACTTATATGCATATCAATCGAGGAAGATATGAATATAGTGATGAAAATAATATTTCATGATTAGCAGCCAATCGGAGATGTAGATTTACGCTTTAAAACATAAAACACAGAGCACTGTGACATTGTTTGGAACGGGTCGATCAGTGGAGAACAGTTGATGATAAACGATGAAGGTAGGATGACATTCCCCCAGCTGCCTCCTGCAGCCAGAGACTGATGTGGGACAGACCCGTGAAGATCCGGGGTAGAATAGGTCTTCAGCAACCCATGCTTGCCGTAAAAGGCGACTATGCTTGTCGTAAGAGGCGACTAACGGGATCAGGTGGTCAGCCTCGCTGACTTAGTTGATGCATGTCATCGTATCCCAATTGCGTCAATCACTTGATTGTCTGGTCCAGACTCGATTATTTACAGTCCGACGTCACATAGCTGGAATATTGCCGAGTGCGGCGTTATACAACAAACAAACAAATAAATAAATCTGACGGGTCGACCAGTAGAGAACAGTTGATTATAAACAATGAAGGAATGATTAAATACCCCCAGCCGTCACCTGGACCGGAGAGTGATATACACGTAGCTGTGTTTGAGACGTTCTTAACAGAAACATAGATTCACAATGATCAAACAAAAAACATAATGATCAAACCACCAAATTTCCATGTTGTCATTAGTTCCAGTACAGCCTGTTTATACCTACATTCATATGATGCAGACTCCCACAACACTATCTTGAATACAGCTGATGAACATCCCAAGAGATGCCTGCTTGATTTCACGTTTCTCTAACACACCCATTCTTACTTACCTGGCGGGAACAGGACACCCTAGTGTATACATGAAGGTGGCCATCCGGGGCTTCAGGCTGGGGATCAATGACCTGAAGCTGTTGCCGACTAAAGCTGATATCGAATCCTGGTACACATGCCCTATTAGGTGCCTTTTTGACGTGTGGCTGGTGATTTATTAACCGAATCAGCTAGAGGGACAAAGGTGTTTGATTAGGTGTCACCTAATTTAGTTTGTGGATTTCTTGTAAAAATATCTTGTGGATCATATTTCTGCGCTTTCTTAACACAATGACCGGTGGCATGAAATATGAAAAAAGAAACAGAAATAAAAGAAGCTTGTTTAGTTCATTTGTTTGAATGACGAGTCAAAGAGTTACTTCCCTTCCGTATGGACATCTTGTAATATCTACACTGAAATGGTTAGCTGTAACGATTCGAGAAATGCATTTCTTAAATAAATATTTTCAATATTAATATTGTGAAAATAGGCATCGACGGATGTTAAAAGAAAGTTATACATTACTGTTTTTGCAAAATTGTCAGATCTGTTATCAAGAGGCTTGATCGCATACCTACATGTATATCAGATGGGTTTGTGTCACAACGCCCAGTAGAATGATCCATTGTATCGATACAACGTACACAAGGAACCAGCTGTGACAGTGTTGTCGTCAGTCTTCATGGCGTTGTTAGTGTAGTTCACAGCTGATCGATCTCCCTCGATGAAAGCTAAGCGGCTATAAACATGCTAGGGACATCTGTTAGCGGCGTGTTTATAGCATGTCCATTTCACGACTGCTTGCCTGAGTGAGCGAGTGAGTGAGTGAGTTGGGTTTAACGACGCTTTTAACAGTATTCCAGTTATATCACGGCGTGTCAGCTTGAAGGGAGGAAAGCCCAAGTGATGCAGGTCTCAGACGTTTACCACTTCGGTGAAACCCACAAGCACGGGTATGGTGCTGACAAACCTAGAAACATAATCGGGGCGAACTGCCTGAGTGAATGGTATAGTGACATTGTAATGATCATTTGTGATTGGCAATTGATATTTTAATTGTTGGCTGGAAGGTCGGATGAGGTTAGGTGAACTGGAGTTTAACGCGCGTCACGTTTATTCTCTCTCTCTGTGTGTGTGTGTGTGTGTGTGTGTGTGTGTGTGTGTGTGTGTGTGTGTGTGTACCATTAACGTGACATAAACAGAGGTATTATATTGTGTACTCGTACCTTTTTCACTGTGCCATTATCGGAATCAGGATAAAACGGCACCTCTTCAAATATGTATTTTAGAGGCATGAAATACACTATGGAAAAAAAGAAGGGGGTATTTTGTTTCGAGGTGAAATTTCAGGAAAATAAATCAATATCTGGCAATGGATTTGACTGATTATTAGAAAGTTTTATAGGTGTTCGGGCAACTAGGCCCATTTACACCTTGCCCATAATAAAGGTTTGCTAATTACCTATATAGTTCATAGAGTAGTGAAACTGCCACACGCTTTAAAAGTACCACACACTACTTTAAGATTGTCTGACATATTCAACAGAGAACTGAAGACATCATAGGTAGCAAGAGCATTATTATAGACATGAAGAATGGAGACTGATCTTTTATCCTTCAAATGTATATTGACTTCAGTCCCTTCTCATTGGGATGGTGGAACCTTATTTCACTAAATGACAGTGAGTGAGCGAGTTTAGCACTACCTCCTCTAAAACCAAACTGACGATCTTTACGTAGGCAGACATAACCGTCCCAACGGAATTGCTGTTTGGGATGCAAGAACGTCTCCTGAAGACATAGCATCTGGCATTAGGTCAAGACTGTCGATTTAAGCCTTAAATCCCGGACCATTAGCAGCCATAAGAAGGATGGATTAAGACTTCCATTGTTGACCCTTAACCATGCTCGTCAGATCATCAGGGGGACACTTGTAACCCCACGAGAGACTGGGCAGCTGATGCTGTGGTCTGGAGACCATCAGACTTGATTGCACGAGTAGTGCCAAGATTGGCAACTATACAAATAACAAAGTTGAGAAACTCAACAGGAGAGCCATTGTTGAATAGAGGTTTGCAAGAAGATTCAGACATAATGTCAATTACAGGATCAGTCTGACAATCAACTTCCAGAGTTTTAGTCTGGGTACCAGCAGTCACCATGACTGGAGGAGATACAACATCAGAAATTGGAACAACCAGAGACAGTGGTTTAGCTGCAGTTGGTGGTTTATTGACTTTTGGAACCTGATCAGGAGCCATAACCAAATCTCCACGCACCTTTCGTACCGCCTGAGAATAAGACAATTTACCCTCAACTCTGACTTTCTGGATCTGGACAGCTTCCTGGTATTTAATACAACCTTTGTATGCCGCAGAGTGTGCACCACCACAGTTCTTACATTTAAGAGAACTTTCATTGCACTCCTCGTATTTGTTCTTCCCTCCACATGTAGCGCACACATGATGAGTGCTCCGACACTTGGCAGAGCCATGCCAAAAGTACTGACACTTGAAACATCGCAGAGCAGGAGGAACATACATCCGGATTGGAAACCTCTGGAAGAAAATGACAACATGATCTGGTAAAGACAGACCAGTAAATGTAAGCTGAACAGATTTGGTGGGAACTTTATCAGGTCCACGAGTCAGACGCACAGCAGAGCACATTAGAGGTAACGCAGGTTTTAACTCGTCCTCAATTTCGCTCATCTCAATATCCAGATCAAGACCAGAGATAACTCCACGTGTTCTCATTAATGATTCAGGCTCATAAGTGGTTACTAAATGTTCATCAGGTTCTGTGACTTGCAAAAGTGTTTGGGCAGCCTCAAGAGTTTTTGCTGGGACACTAACATCTCCCTTGGCCATCCGCTTAACACTAACTATTTCCGTAGTGACCTTAGCCAATGCTCTTGCCAAAGCACGCTGGGTCATCAGCTGACAGAGGGTCGTTGAACCATCATCATATTCATCTACATCGGCTTTAAAGATGACATTGGTTGATTTGACCCGTGCTGGGTCATCAAATACAAAAGTAAGATCAGACCTTGCAGTAGGAGGTACAGTATTTGGAGGCTTGGCAACACAGGCCTTTTTAGAAGTACCATTTGGAATACGACCAATTCGCTTCCTCCCTGAAGCCACCACTTTAAATCCGTCCACACATTCCATTCTGTTGTCAGCCATTGCCGAGGACAATCCCCAACAACTGACTGTAACAATCAACAAACACCAAATAAAAATTATAAGTTTGAATGCACTCCAACACGAGAGAAATCAAAAGCCAAAACAACCAAAAAGGAAGTACCATAAACAACAAGTGTGTTGTATAACTAGACAAGTTGCCGAGAAGCAAAAGACGTCCCAAGTCGACGGCAGTCCGCTGTGAGTACCCCCAAAATGCACCAATATCTGGCAATGGAAATAACTGATTTGTGTGGCAAGAACATTTCCTAAGAAATCAAGCTCCCAAACACAACATTGTAAAGCACGTGACCTCGCACAGCACGTGCAGTGGGTGGTATGACAGATTTACCATTGTCCAGCAGACTCGGTTGTGAGCCAACGATCATGCGACGTTTGCAACGTACTGAACGTTTACGTGCCACAACCATGTTGCACGTAGGCACACGTAACAAGTTTGTTGCCCAAACGCTGCATGTTTGTCAATCGGTCATGAGCAGACTGTGGGCCTGATACCAACAAACATATAACGTCGATGATCGACGCCGCTCTGGACGCCAAGGGCGACAACTCCAGCCCAGGACAGATTAGTCGGAACGATCGCATTAAGAAATCGCTTTCCAAATGCCACTCAGAAAGGTGACCGGTTGGTGAAAGAGTACATGCCCAGTAATCGCCATGTTTTTCGTGTTGTTTTTAAAATATTCCGTGAATAATGTTGACTGCACCAATAACTTGGATTTTTGTAAAACCTTCAGCAAATACTCCTATTTCTGTCAGTGAAAAAAAGTTTGTGTATGTTTCTGTTATACCGCGACGAGAGGGAATCAAGACAGTGGAAATAGAACTTTCCCGTTAACTCACTGTACCAGTTATCGCCATTGTTTAAACAGCACGTGCCACGTGATAGGCGCACAGCGTCTGTCATTCATGTTGCATTGGGGCGGGGGATATAGGAACGGAGTTCGCCCGTCCGTCTTTCCGTCCATCCGTCCATCCGCTTCTCAAAGGGGACAATTTTTGTCAAAAACTATTTAAGTCAGAGAAATGAAGTTTTGGTTTTGATCTCAAATGAGTTCGAAAATTGGTGTCATAAATTCATTTTACAGAGATGGCCCTTGCTCCATGCTTTTCAACTTAGTGCATACTGTGTTGAATGGGGACAAGTCTTCTCAGGAACTGCTGAAATGACATGAATGAAAGTTTGCGTGCTTTTGTCAAAGGTACTTGTCAAGACTGTTTTCGGAAATTTGTGCCGTACATTATATTTTTGCAGATTTATGGCCCTTGCTCCGTGCCTTTCAACTTAGTGCATAGTGTCTGCAACCTTTTTCAGAAACTACTTACGTTACACGAATAAAACTTTGCACGCGCATCTAAGTGATACTTGTCAAGTCTATTATTTATTGTTTTACAGAGTTATGGTCCTTGCTTTCGACTTAAGTGCACACTGCGTGAAATGGGGATAGGTTTTCTCAGAAACTCCTGAAGTTACTCGTATGAGAGCTTGCAGGCTTATTTAATTGATTCTTGTCAAGATTGAGTTCGAAAATTGGTCGAATGAATTATTTCTTTACAGAGTTATGGCCCTTGATCCATGCTATTTCATTTTGTGCATTGTGTGTCCAATGGGGACAGGTTTTCTCAGAAACTACTGAAGTTATAAGTAGTGATTTTAACTAAGAGATACGTATCAAGACCGAGTTATTTTTATCTAGAGAAGGGGCCTTTTGTGTGTATTAATTTCACATTTAATCATTGTTTCTTACGTAAAGTGGCCATAGTGCTATCTCTTTTTAAAGCATTAAATGACTTTTTAAATGCACTACTGTATGAACAAACAAAATACAATGTGCCCAATGGCCGGGATGGTGAAAACGCTCTTTTTCCATTTTATCTTCTCATGTATCGCACTCAAATATTTTATCCACCCAAATTAATAAGATTCGTATTTTTCATAAATGTGTCGTGTGCTAACTGACGTAAACCAATAGTCCCAAAATCTCATCTACACCTGCTTATCTAGAGCACTCTGTACTGTGGATTTCGCGATAATACAAGTTGGGTATTTTGGAAGAAAATAGCCAAATTAGGTTTTAGAACTGTATTTTTTAAAAGAAATGACCCAGTCGGTAGTAACCAATGACAGAACTAAACGTGCATCATCGTATTGTTATGTTTCTGTTAAACATGACCACGTGTCACAACACGCCTGTCTCTTCAAAAGTTGAATTTGAGCCAGGTGCGTGTGTGGTGTTTTAATAAATAGTTCTTTACAAGTGTCAGTTTTGTTCATCATTTTCGGATAAATATTTCCCTCTTACCATGAAAACGAGGAAAAGTAAAACGAGATGTAATCACATGCGCACTATAACAAGGAGTTGGCGAGAACTGGTCCTCGGCAACAGCTGGTCAAGTTCTCAAAAAAACTTGACATTGAGGATATTACGAACGCCTCTGTGAGATATTGATGTTTTAAGATTTAGAGTGACCTCCCTTGTTATTCTCGATGTCAGGCTCCTACCCAGTGCGTGGCAGTTTCGTTACACTCTCGGTAATAGTTTAGAGAGCTCCGGGAACGTACTATCGCTGTGAGGAGCTTGTCTCGATGTCAGGCTCCTACCCAGTGCGTGACACTTTCGTTACACTCTCTGTAATAGTTTAGAGAGCCCCGTGAACGTTCTATCGCTGCGAGGAGCTTGTCTAGATATCACTGTTGATTGTCGCCATATTGCATGTAAACAAACAGGTACCAGGTGCCCTCGTGCCTCTAAAGGTAAGTAATTTCTGGAAGTATTAGCTCGTGATTTAGTTCGGAAAACAAAAGTCTCGATTTAGGACACAACCAGCCCTTTATGGCAGAAACTGTAATGCTAGTGTTAAGCGGATACAGTAATTGGTAGGTGTTTTTTTATGAGTCTATGACGTTTTACTTCTCGATCCAGAACAGATCTAGATTGAGTGGACTGTCAAGACAAGACAAGACAAGACAAGACTATATCTATATATGCCTGAATCACTAATATTGCCGACTGCGTCAAATATACAAATCGCATTGCGATAGCTGTGGCGTTATTGACAGTGGTAGAATAACCTGAACCAGTGTATGATGTTTAACAAACTCTTGTCATGTTTATAGACTGGGAACACATGCACAAATCCTCATACCGGAGCAAACTGTTCTTGCATCAGGGGTGACCGACAAAGAGTTGAGCACCTATTTGTCTTCACGTGATCACATAACATATCTCGATTTCACAAGTTTCGGGCGAGTAATGCATGGTAAAATTACCAACCTTCAGAGAAAATGATTTCATTTTCCTGTTATGTCAATACACGTCTGTTAAAGATATTCACTAACGTTTCATCGACTGCATTGATGATTCATCATGTTCATTAACGTAACAAATGTTATGGGATAACACTTTCTTAGCAAAGTACAAGTTCTCATACTTTTTTGGGTTGAGTCCGGTTGGGGATTCGAACCCACACTGCCAGAGTGAGGCACCTAATTGCCAGCACACACAGTACTTCGTTGAGAAAGTGTTATCAGTGTGACGAGCAAACGCTTTAACCAATAGGCTACCCGACTGCCCCCATGGACTATAAGTATAACGCTGGAAATATGATCGTAGAGTTGAGGGACGGTGGACTAGGGCTCAGCTTCTACTATCTGACATCTGGGTGTACTGTTTGCTATAATACACAAGCATAGAGAACAGATAGTAACAGTTGATAAGTACTTGAGACTTGCAGTTGAAGCTCATTGATATAAGTTAAAGGAATAGTCTTTCTCATATCTAAATATCATGATTTCTAGATTTGAGTACTGTCTGGTATCTTGTGATACTGGTAATGATGAAATCACTGAAATACAGCTCAACAATCTTTTTCTTCATACCTTAATTTATTGTTATCTCAAAAACTTTAACAAAGAAAACCACATGAACAAAACAATTCTAAATGAAGGGATGCTTATTAAATGTAACAGTTGGTAGAGGCCTCCCCAGCCAGCACGTTCTCGTAATCTGCCATGTCTACAGTTGGTGTGATGCTACTTCTGCCATTATGGGAGGTAACTCTGTTAGTTCCTGTTCTATTTATAAAGTATCGCGATCTCACAAACTGACGTTTTAAGTATCATTGTACCAAAGTATCAGTGGTATCATAGGTATCGGCGAATCGTTACAGTCCTAATATTTTCACGTGTTATATGATGTAGTTTCAGTGGATCAACTAGTCATTGCAGGCTGGTCATGTGGCAGTACCTGTGGGCTCACGGCGTGTACCACCTGGTCAGGTGGTTTCCCCGCAACAATAGGACTAAAATGTGAGTACAGTAGGGGTGTCACGATAAATCGAAATATCGATATATTGCTATTGGTTAGCACTTAAAGTCAATAAATCAATTGTTAAATCAGTTTCCGATCAGTGGTATCAATTTCAGTTAGGAATATCAATAGTTTTGATTATATTTACCATATCAATAAAATACATGCAATGCTGTTCAAATTTGTTTTTATTTTGATCATGAGTGGTAGTAATTTACACATGGTAATGTGAAAGTTTCTTTTTCTCAAATTAGTGTAAAGAAAAAACAAATCAGTCATATCTCAAACTTTTTATTTGTTGTTATAGTTATCACATTCAAAGGAAACTACATTTCCAAGGTTTAATTCAACTCTCTTAAATGATACACTGAAAACTATTGATATTTTTCGCAATGGTTGCTTGCAATATCAATAGTTATCGCAATAGTTTCTTTCAATATCAATAGTTATCGTAATAGTGATTTCCAGACCAATAGTCACCCCTAGAGTACAGCGTCTTGTGTATACAGGCTTTCGTGACATCCCCTGATTCTTGAGTACAAAAACTACCATAGCTGCTAGGGCTGGCGGATACCCCAACTGTGTGATCTGATACGTTACACCATACCTTGCTCACGATCCGATACATATCGACCGCCTCCGTGGTCAAGTGGTAGAGCGTCCGCCCGGAGAGCGGAAGGTCCGGGGTTCGATCCCCAGTCGCGTCATACCAAAAGACGTTAAAAGATGGTACTTGTTGTAACCCAGTCTGGTGCTCGGCAATAAGGGGCTAAAACAAGTACTGGTCGGCTCGGAGTCAGTATGCTGTTTCTGAGTGGGGTATTCATGTTAAACTGCGGCATGGTATCTCAGTGGGCTAGCACTATAAATCGGCATCAGTCTGGACTAGTACAAGCAGCCATACACACACACACACACATGCATGCATGTCGCTTTATAAGTGCAATAATCTTGGACGCAACGTTAAACCCAATTTCACCATCACACCGATACATATCACAATACCTCGCTCATGATCCCATACATATCACAATACCTTGCTCACGATCCGATACATATCACAATACCTTGCTCACGATCCGATACATATCACAATACCTTGCTCACGATCCGATACATATCACCATACCTTGCTCACGATCCGATACATATCACCATACCTTGCTCACGATCCGATACTTGCATGTGCTCTTATCTGTGGTGGGTAAGACATCTTTCTCATAGACAGGATGGCCAAATACCTGGCACACTGATGATTTACAGTTGGCAGTGTCAAGTATGGTGCAATGGATGAAAATATGTATGTTTTCACTATTAACTTGAACTGGTCAGAATCGATATTTTTTACTTAGTGTGCTACTGTGATCGATACTTGTTTTGTGAAGTAAAGAAATTGCGATCCACTGATGCATCTGTGTATCGTCCTACCACTAATGGTTTACAAAAAAAATCATTGTTGTTGCTTGATGTGAGGCCTAGTTATGGTGCGGGTTGTACAAGTACCTGAGCATGAGTGACTGAGTTGGATTTAACGCCGCTTTCAACAGTATTCCAGTTATATTGCGGCGTGTCAGCTTAATGTGGGAGGAAAGCCTGAAGTAATGCAGGTCTCAGACATTTGCCACTTCTGTAAAACCCACAAGCACTGGTATGGTGCTGACAAACCTAGAAACATAATCAGGGCGAACAGGGACTCAAACCCACAATCATAGGTTTCTGGCGTGCCCAAGCGATGCAACTCTGCACAGTGAATCATGGCACCTTAGACGACTGGGCCACCCGTGACCCCCTCCTGAGCATGATATACAGTCTTACAAATACACTACATGAACCCCATTTCACCTCACCTAATCTCACCTCACCTCCAACAAGCACAGGTAACTGATTAGCAATAGACTATGCTTGTTGTAAGAGGCAACTAACGGGATCGAGTGGTCAGGCTCGCTGATTTGGTTGATGCATGCCATCGATCCCAATTGCGTGGATCGATGCTCATGACTTCAATCACTGGACTGTCTGGTCCGGACTCGATTATTTACAGACTGCTGTCATATAGCTGGAATATTGCTGATTGGGGCATTAAACAACAAACAAACAACCAAAACGTCCATTGTTTCAGCTTCTTCCTGGTAATGCTGCTGACCGCCGCCCTCCTGGTGCCGCAGATTGTAGTGTTGCTTCTTGACCACTCCAGTCGCTGGTGTCAGTACAAGCTCTTCGACTTCCTCATCGTGTCCATCGTGTTCACCTTGTTCCTCATTGGTAAGTGTTGGGTTTTTTATTTCCATTTTAAAAAAACCCTGAAATCCTCAAACTTAAAAACAGTGTGATCCAATACAAAACACAGTTACTTTTTGATTGGTGCCACTGGTGGGGCAGGATACGATCACCTTTTCGCAAACACCTGGTGTCATTACTAGTTGATAGTGATTCATAAACACATGCTAATGATATAGTCGGTAAATGCTTTATGCAGATATTTCTATTGGATATGGAAAGGGTTTTGTCGCTTTATTCCCTTTGCATGTGCACTGCTTTACAGTGCATCTCGTGTGATGGTCATGGCTGCAAAAGGAGTTTGTATGCTTGTTTATATAAGGACTCCCTTTCCCAGTTATATACTAGTTTGAACAAGCAAGAAAAAAGAAAAAACACTGCACGCCCACACTATATTTTCATTGTCATTCAAGTTTTTTGTTTAACGCCGCACTCAGCAATATTCCAGCTATATGACGGCGGTGTGTAATATAATCGAGTCTGGACATGACAATCAAGTGGTTGACATCATGAGCATCAGTCCACACAATTTTTAATTTGTTTAAGCCTAATATGTGTTACCATGTTGCCACGTTGAATACAGATGACCACCTGATGACCACCTTCATGATACACTGCAAAACGATTTCTTTACAAAAACATGTTTATAATAAAATAGTTTTTCTTGTTTTGTTCAGGGTTCACCTTCCTGTTCATGGTGATGATGCCGGTGCCGAGAGCCGTGAAGTTCGGGTTCCACATGTTCGGGGGCATCTCGCTCGTCATCAGCCTGGCTCAAGTTATCCTGACCTCCAAAGCTGAGTCTTGTGTAAGTTAAACATGGATAATGTTTGCACTAACAGATGTGGTGCTTCGGCTTTCAGTCAGGTTCAAATATAAGGGAAGTAACTCTGCATGTCATAACTTGTTCTTTGTAAATTGATTTTTGCTAGAGGCTAGAGATATCTTGAATATCTTCCTTAATTTCTAACTCACCTGACTAAAAGTCAAGGGGGGCTTTTGGCGTGGCCTGATTGTCCAGGGTCAGTCGTCCATCGTGTATCATTAATATTTTCTCTGAAAAAAACCCCCGACCAATAAATCTGATCCTCACATACATATTCCCACCAGTGAAGCCACTCCACTTTGTTCCAGACTTAGGAGTTTAATTTTCATCATGGCCATCACAGCAGCCATATTGAAAAAACAATTTCTGGCCATGACTAATGAAATCTGGTTCTTGTATAGATAGTATTGGGGTTCAACATTTGTTCTTTTTTGGGGACGTGAAAATGAGCTAATCAGTCAGTCTGGTTGTATGTCCATTGTTATCTGTTCATTTTCAAGCTGAAACTTCGTATCAATGATCCCAGCCGTGGTGTCTCTCAAAATATATTGACTATACTGAAAATTTCATTTTGGACATTACTCTGACATTCCTGCGTGTGTCATTATGTATCTTGATGTGCAGAAAGTATGAGCTTCTTGGAATAAAAGATAATTTTTTTTGGCATACCGGGGTAATTTCATGTCTCCCATTGTATCCTTCTCCGACCTTTGACTTTCAATTACCCACGTTTTTCTAGGGTTACTGCATTTTCTACATCTCTGAAAATATTGGCATCAGCACATCAGGATTGTCCAGGCAAAATATCACCACCCTACACCTTTTAACATAGGATTTATAGCTAAACAAGTTCAATGGATGACAGGCTTTGAGCAGTTTGACTCGTGTCAGTTTCTCAATTGCTGGTCAAAAAAGTCATCGCTGCAGCCATTGAGGCAAGGACGAGGGACCAACAGCAATTCAAAGAGGGGTCTCACTCCCATGACTGATTAACATACTTAAAACGATACATGACCCTGTGGTGACCTCCAGTAACCTTGACCTTTGCATTTGAAAGATGAACGTTGCAGTAACCGATTATCATGATGTTCCTCTGATGTTCCATGTCTTGTTGGTTCAGTCATGATGTTCCTCTGCTGTTCCATGTCTTGTCGGTTCAGTCATGATGTTCCTCTGCTGTTCCTTGTCGTGTCGGTTCAGTCATGATGTTCCTCTGATGTTCCATGTCTTGTTGGTTCAGTCATGATGTTCCTCTGATGTTCCATGTCGTGTCAGTTCAGTCATGATGTTCCTCTGATGTTCCATGTCGTGTCAGTTCAGTCATGATGTTCCTCTGATGTTCCATGTCTTGTTGGTTCAGTCATGATGTTCCTCTGATGTTCCATGTCGTGTCAGTTCAGTCATGGTGTGTCTGTGCTGTTCCATGTCGTGTCAGTTCAGTCATGATGTTCCTCTGATGTTCCATGTCGTGTCAGTTCAGTCATGATGTTCCTCTGATGTTCCATGTCGTGTCAGTTCAGTCTGGATGTTCCTCTGATGTTCCATGTCGTGTCAGTTCAGTCATGATGTGTCTGTGCTGTTCCATGTCGTGTCGGTTCAGTCATGATGTTCCTCTGATGTTCCATGTCGTGTCAGTTCAGTCATGATGTTCCTCTGATGTTCCATGTCGTGTCGGTTCAGTCATGATGTTCCTCTGATGTTCCATGTCGTGTCAGTTCAGTCATGATGTTCCTCTGATGTTCCATGTCGTGTCGGTTCAGTCATGATGTTCCTCTGATGTTCCATGTCGTGTCGGTTCAGTCATGATGTTCCTCTGATGTTCCATGTCGTGTCGGTTCAGTCATGATGTTCCTCTGATGTTCCATGTCGTGTCGGTTCAGTCATGGTGTGTCTGTGTTGTTCCATGTCGTGTCGGTTCAGTCATGGTGTGTCTGTGTTGTTCCATGTCGTGTCAGTTCAGTCATGATGTTCCTCTGATGTTCCATGTCGTGTCAGTCAGTCATGATGTGTCTGTGCTGTTCCATGTCTTGTTGGTTCAGTCATGATGTTCCTCTGATGTTCCATGTCTTGTCAGTTCAGTCATGATGTGTCTGTGCTGTTCCATGTCTTGTCAGTTCAGTCATGATGTTCCTCTGATGTTCCATGTCGTGTCGGTTCAGTCATGATGTGTCTGTGCTGTTCCATGTCGTGTCGGTTCAGTCATGATGTTCCTCTGATGTTCCATGTCGTGTCGGTTCAGTCATGATGTGTCTGTGCTGTTCCATGTCTTGTCGGTTCAGTCATGATGTGTCTGTGCTGTTCCATGTCTTGTCGGTTCAGTCATGATGTGTCTGTGCTGTTCCATGTCTTGTCGGTTCAGTCATTATGTTCCTCTGATGTTCCATGTCGTGTCAGTTCAGTCATGATGTGTCTGTGCTGTTCCATGTCGTGTCGGTTCAGTCATGATGTGTCTGTGCTGTTCCATGTCTTGTTGGTTCAGTCATGATGTTCCTCTGATGTTCCATGTCGTGTCAGTTCAGTCATGATGTTCCTCTGATGTTCCATGTCGTGTCTGTTCAGTCATGATGTGTCTGTGCTGTTCCATGTCTTGTCAGTTCAGTCATGATGTTCCTCTGATGTTCCATGTCGTGTCGGTTCAGTCATGATGTGTCTGTGCTGTTCCATGTCTTGTCGGTTCAGTCATGATGTGTCTGTGCTGTTCCATGTCGTGTCAGTTCAGTCATGATGTGTCTGTGCTGTTCCATGTCTTGTCGGTTCAGTCATGATGTTCCTCTGATGTTCCATGTCTTGTTGGTTCAGTCATGATGTTCCTCTGATGTTCCATGTCGTGTCGGTTCAGTCATGATGTGTCTGTGCTGTTCCATGTCTTGTCGGTTCAGTCATGATGTGTCTGTGCTGTTCCATGTCGTGTCGGTTCAGTCATGATGTGTCTGTGCTGTTCCATGTCTTGTCGGTTCAGTCATGATGTTCCTCTGATGTTCCATGTCTTGTTGGTTCAGTCATGATGTTCCTCTGATGTTCCATGTCTTGTCGGTTCAGTCATGATGTGTCTGTGCTGTTCCATGTCTTGTCAGTTCAGTCATGATGTTCCTCTGATGTTCCATGTCGTGTCAGTTCAGTCATGGTGTGTCTGTGTTGTTCCATGTCTTGTTGGTTCAGTCATGGTGTGTCTGTGTTGTTCCATGTCGTGTCAGTTCAGTCTGGATGTTCCTCTGATGTTCCATGTCGTGTCAGTTCAGTCATGATGTGTCTGTGCTGTTCCATGTCTTGTCAGTTCAGTCATGATGTTCCTCTGATGTTCCATGTCTTGTCGGTTCAGTCATGATGTGTCTGTGCTGTTCCATGTCTTGTCAGTTCAGTCATGATGTTCCTCTGATGTTCCATGTCTTGTTGGTTCAGTCATGATGTTCCTCTGCTGTTCCATGTCTTGTCAGTTCAGTCATGATGTTCCTCTGATGTTCCATGTCGTGTCAGTTCAGTCATGATGTTCCTCTGATGTTCCATGTCTTGTCAGTTCAGTCATGATGTGTCTGTGATGTTCCATGTCTTGTCAGTTCAGTCATGATGTGTCTGTGCTGTTCCATGTCTTGTTGGTTCAGTCATGATGTTCCTCTGATGTTCCATGTCGTGTCAGTTCAGTCATGATGTGTCTGTGATGTTCCATGTCGTGTCAGTTCAGTCATGATGTGTCTGTGCTGTTCCATGTCGTGTCAGTTCAGTCATGATGTGTCTGTGCTGTTCCATGTCGTGTCAGTTCAGTCATGATGTGTCTGTGCTGTTCCATGTCGTGTCAGTTCAGTCATGATGTGTCTGTGATGTTCCATGTCTTGTTGGTTCAGTCATGATGTTCCTCTGATGTTCCATGTCGTGTCAGTTCAGTCATGATGTGTCTGTGATGTTCCATGTCGTGTCAGTTCAGTCATGATGTGTCTGTGCTGTTCCATGTCGTGTCAGTTCAGTCATGATGTGTCCGTGCTGTTCCATGTCTTGTCGGTTCAGTCATGATGTTCCTCTGATGTTCCATGTCTTGTCAGTTCAGTCATGATGTTCCTCTGATGTTCCATGTCGTGTCAGTTCAGTCATGATGTGTCTGTGCTGTTCCATGTCTTGTCGGTTCAGTCATTATGTTCCTCTGATGTTCCATGTCGTGTCAGTTCAGTCATGATGTTCCTCTGATGTTCCATGTCGTGTCGGTTCAGTCATTATGTTCCTCTGATGTTCCATGTCGTGTCAGTTCAGTCATGATGTTCCTCTGATGTTCCATGTCGTGTCAGTTCAGTCATGATGTTCCTCTGATGTTCCATGTCTTGTCAGTTCAGTCATGATGTTCCTCTGATGTTCCATGTCGTGTCAGTTCAGTCATGATGTTCCTCTGATGTTCCATGTCGTGTCAGTTCAGTCATGATGTTCCTCTGATGTTCCATGTCTTGTCGGTTCAGTCATGATGTGTCTGTGCTGTTCCATGTCGTGTCAGTTCAGTCTGGATGTTCCTCTGATGTTCCATGTCGTGTCAGTTCAGTCATGATGTGTCTGTGCTGTTCCATGTCTTGTCGGTTCAGTCATTATGTTCCTCTGATGTTCCATGTCGTGTCAGTTCAGTCATGATGTTCCTCTGATGTTCCATGTCGTGTCAGTTCAGTCATGATGTGTCTGTGCTGTTCCATGTCGTGTCAGTTCAGTCTGGATGTTCCTCTGAAATTCCATGTCGTGTCAGTTCAGTCATGATGTGTCTGTGCTGTTCCATGTCTTGTCGGTTCAGTCATTATGTTCCTCTGATGTTCCATGTCGTGTCAGTTCAGTCATGATGTTCCTCTGATGTTCCATGTCTTGTCAGTTCAGTCTGGATGTTCCTCTGATGTTCCATGTCGTGTCAGTTCAGTCATGATGTGTTTGTGCTGTTCCATGTCGTGTCGGTTCAGTCATGATGTTCCTCTGATGTTCCATGCCTTGTCGGTTCAGTCATGATGTGTCTGTGCTGTTTCAGAGTAGGACCACGGAATCCCTGTACACGCTATCAGTGGTGCTGGCCATCTTCTCCGCCATTAGCATGTGTAAGTATACACTGGAAGCTCTCCCAGTTTTCATACTAGTTACAAGTAATTACATATCCAATCTGAGCTCATTGTTTCCTCGTCATTGGCGCATTCAAACTACTTTAAGCTTCACATGAAGCATTCTTTGGTTGCATGGTTGTATAATTGTACTAATAATGTGCACTTTGAGCTAACCAGGATTGAAGTTCCAAGGGGGGCTTTGGTGCAAGGTCTGTTGTTGGTGGGGTAGCCTTGTGGTTAAAGCACACTGAAAACCTGAGTTTGATTCCCTACATGGGTACAATGTTTGAAGCCCATTTCTGGTGTCTTCTGCCGTACGATTGCTGGAATGTAGTTAAAAGCTGCATAAAATCATATTCACTTACTCACTCACTGTCGTGTGTCTGTTCATTTTTTAATGAACGGAAAAAAAGAAATCAAATTGTGAAAAATCTTTAAGAATGTTCTTCGCAGGGTCCATGAATCTAAAACTCTGAAATGATGTGTAGGAACACAATCGATATACATTAATGCATGCCAATTGATTGTAAAGCCATGTCAAAATTTGACATGAAACATGAAAAAACCCCAGAAAGAGGTGAAACCGATGTAGTATTGGACATGTTGAGGTTCGGATGTAATACCAGATAATGAGTAATAGTTGCTTTAGATTTAGGCAGCATTATCTCTAAACAACTTTGTCCATTTTTTTATGATGTTGCCAGATTGAAATATCTTGCATCTCAAATGCTACTTTGTCAAATGTGGTGATGCTTTACATGACTGTTAGTTACGATTATATTGAAAAAATACTTTGATATCACACCAGCCTCTCACATGAAATGGACAATATTACAAAGCCAATAAACAGCCATACACTCAAGAGAGTTAACTGACAGAATGGGGCTTTAAACAAACAACAAAGAAATTGAAGGACGGCAACTAAAATAAAGTGATTAGTGTGTTTGTTAAGAATGCCCAAAACTGAATTCTTTTGCCACAGAGATGTGTAGCTTTCAACAAGTCAAGGTTCTTATTTCAATTTCAGGTATTTTCGGTTTGATGGCTCCATTTTGGATTGCAAATCGTGTGAAGAAAGACAGTGTTCTGAATGTCCCCCAACATACAGGAGTTTGTTACGAGCCCGTCAAGTGCTGCTCCTGTCTCTGGCACATCTAACATTCACAAGACAGGAAGTCATTCTGCATAAATCCGTACAGTGTTTGAAATAATTTTAAAACCCAACAAGACAGAAGGGCATGTGACCTACAAATGTTCCCTGTCCACATTCAGACTTTATGAATATTGAAAAAAGGCTAATCGCATCTTGATTCAGTAGAAATAATGCAATCTACTTGAGAATCTACAAGGAGTTATTATAAGACTGAATGGGTAAGTGGCCTTAACATGGAATGCCAAGTCTACAGTATTGTTGTTACCGCTTGATAAGTTTTTAATTTCAAAGGTAGGGCTACTCACATTAATTTCATGACATATTTTAGGCCATAAACTTCATGATTTACTGTAGTATTTACATATATTGTAGCAGGACTTTGATGTAAACTCTTGTCAACGATGTGGTACCATTTGGGCCATAGATACGTGATGCAGCAATAATTTATACAATCATTACAACCAGTATTATAAAAAAAATGAATGCTTGTACTTTTGGGAGTAACCGCTTACTGATGAAGAACATCGAGCCCTACTTTCTCTACAGTTCTAACCAGTCCCAAAATCTTGCAGCACAACCGTATGATGAAATTATTGCTCTTCTTTTCTGTTGGTATATCGGTTGATTGCCAGATAGTCGGGCTGGGACGGGAAACTCGGGTGGGTCCTGAGCAGGACCCTGATACCAACATGGCTACCCGGACCCTGATACCCACAGGGCTACCCGGACCCTGATACCCACAGGGCTACCCGGACCCTGATACCCACAGGGCCACCCGGACCCTGATACCCACAGGGCCACCCGGACTCTGATACCCACAGGGCCACCCGGACCCTGATACCCACAGGGCCACCCGGACCCTGATACCCACAGGGCCACCCGGACCCTGATACCCACAGGGCCACCCGGACCCTGATACCCACAGGGCCACCCGGACCCTGATACCCACAGGGCTACCCGGACCCTGATACCCACAGGGCTACCCGGACCCTGATACCCACAGGGTTTCCCAGACCCTGATACCCACAGGGTTACCCGGACCCTGATACCCACAGGGTTTCCCGGACCCTGATACCCACAGGGTTACCCGGACCCTGATACCCACAGGGTTACCCGGACCCTGATACCCACAGGGTTTCCCAGACCCTGATACCCACAGGGTTACCCGGACCCGTGGTTAGTCATGTGATATTTTATTAATGACAAAAACATTAAATCTCCGTGGTTACACTACAAGTCACTAATGTTCACATTTCTGACTATGCACACAATCCTTCTGACTTCTATGTTTGAGTAAAGACAAAGCTTCAGTCAACATCAGTGCAAGCATGGCAAGCTTGTTGTATATGTGTATCAATGGCTCTTACCAGGGCTTCGGTAAAACAATTCCCAATCGGAGACTTTGTACCAACTTCCAGCAGGTAACTGGGTAGTAAATTTGGACCCAGCCCTACCAGACCAAATCACTTCAAGACCATAAAGTGGATTTCCTATAATTGATATGAATTCACTGGTTGAAAATTGTATCCTTTCTATCATTGAAAGTATGTGACTCTCTACAAATATGTGACTTTAGTGGTTATAGCTTTAGCTTGTCATGAACATAATCGAGTTACTTACATCACATCTTACACATTCCAAATACTAGTGTTTTGACTTGATATACATTTAGGAGTGGTGGGGTAGCCTAGTGGATATAACGTTTGCTCGTCTCGCCGAAGACCCGGGTTCGATTCCCCACAACGGTACATTGTGTGAAAAAGTTCTTTCATTTTTAGAAAGAAAATGTAAAACAGATTGGTTCTCAGGTTTTAAGCAACTGTTTTATCATGCTGTGCCTGTGATGCATGTAAATATTTCATTGGCAAGTTTTGCAAGAGGTTTGACAAACTCATTGAAAACAGATCTTAGTGCTCGGTACCGCTACACAAAATACTAAATGGTGATCAGCACTAAGATCTGATTATAATGAGAAATTGGTTTTGAAGAAATTAGTTTTGCTCATTTGTCATGGAACAGAGTATTTTTCCTTGGTGACTGGGCATTATGCTTTCTTATTTTCTCCAATGAATTGGTTTAGTTGTCATACAAAAACATCTCCCTCTATTGTGCAGAGTTGCGTCCCTTGGGCACACCAGGAACCTATGATTGTGGGTTTGAATCCTCGTTTGCCCAGGACAGGGTAAACCCAATCTCATTAAAATCGGATCTTAGCCTCGCTACCACATAAACAAAGTTCTGAAGATGGCCCATTATGGGTCACGTCATAACAATCTTTCTTCCAACCAATCAGAGCATCGCTTGCCAGATGGGGGGCGGTGGGGTAGCCTAGTGGTTAAAGCGTTCGCTCGTCACGCCCAAGACCCGGGTTCGAATCCTGACATGGGTACAATGTGTGAAGTCCATTTCTGGTGTCCCCGGCCGTGATATTGCTGGAATATTGCTAAAAGCGGCGTAAAACCATACACAATTCACTCACTCACTCGCCAGATTGGGAAGGTAACAGTAAGAATGCATTTTCTAATCATGCAACCTTGAAAAACTATGGGCAAAATGACTGATTTTGTCAAAATTGTCTATTTCTTGCTTCATTTGAACAAACATTTGAGAAGGAGGACACTGTGCCTAGCCTGTGGGGGAAGTCCTGCCATCCAATCTCGGCCATCTGTTAGACATTCCAGAATTGGTTTGTTCACTTTCCAAATTTTCAGACGTTATTTTACAAATGGTAGACTGGAATGGAAGTCGCCAGTTTGAAACTAGTGCTGTAAAGCTCGAGAAAGCTGCATTCTGATTAGCTAATGTTATCTTCTGGCATTTCATTGTTCGCGAGCGGTGTCCTGGCTTGACCCTTGATGGGATGTCCTGAGATCTTTGAAGGGAGAACTGATTTAAATAAGATTGGGTTTGTCTTGATTGGTTTGCCAGCACCATACCTGTCCTCTTGGGTTTCACCTGCAAATTTACCTGTTTTGTACAGTAAAAGTATTCCCTTATCTACTCAGAATTAACATACTTTTTTCTTGTAATGCAACTTTTTCTCTCAAATAGTTATTGGGAGCTATGCTTGCTTGTATGGTGTTTCAAGCCGCACACAGCAATATTCCAGCTATATGACAGCGGTCTGTAAACAATCGAGTCTGGACCAGACAATCAAGTGATTGATATCAATCTGTGAACAATTCAATATTCAACTCATAAGAAGTTGAATAACACTCAATTCTTTCATATTACTATAGTTAGTGTGTCATGGTATGACTGATTCGCTATGGTCGTGTGAAAGAATTGTGTGTTCTTAACTTCTTGTGTGTAGTATATATAACCTTGTGGCCACGTTTCTATCACACAGGAACGTGACCATGAGAAGGCTGTATACATTATTCATGGTATATTACTGAAAAGGGGGAATAACTAATTTCTTTCCAGAAAAATGAAATATTCCTGAAGAGAAGTTTTCATTCAACTGAGTTAATTATACAATTTCCAGGATTCAAATCACATTTAGCAACATTGCTGTACCAATCGTGTTTGGGCACACACCAGCAGTTGTGTTTTTCCTTTTTATAAAAATCTATAGCTTATGTTGTACTTTGTTTATATGTTCAATTTGAAGTATTCAGTATTGCTGTCGGTGACTTTTGTAAATAAGTTTAGCCTTCGTATATTTCTCCATGTAACTAATAGAAACCTGTTTTATACTGAATTATGTTTTCAGTTTCCTAACATTCCATATTTTATATGAGCTCAGATGCTGTGGTCATGCTGCAGAGTGTGTTGTGACTGAAACGATAAAATTTGGAATATTTCTGGATGTATCGATATATAACAAAGTAAGCATCTTGTAGTTCTCACTCCAGCTGGACACAAATCATGACCTGATACATTCCGTGCAATATGTTATTTGGCATCTGGAATAGCGTGATGAAGAAAAAAAATAATTATGTCACACTGTTGGCAGTTGCTGGTTTTGTTAGCATGTTTTTGTTGTTGTAAAATTGTTTTTCAATCTTCAATAAGTAGAGTTCTTCATCTTATACATTGTAACCATGGTTACACAATTCCAGCTGGTCTGGAGATACTCCGTCCATATGAAAGTATTTTCCAAATAAATTCTGTTTTAACACTTGGACATGTTAAGTTTTTGTTTCATGAAGACATTCAGGGCTTCACTGGGAGATGAATTAGCTCCCTTTCTCAATGTGCCTTTTCAGCTTTGTAGAAAAACAGCAGATTGAGAAAAAAAGATGTGCTTGGTATTTCTCAAACAATGAATTTGTAAAACCGTATTCAGCACCCTGCTAAAAAAAACGCCCCTAAAAGCGACAATGTCAAAGTTATCTTTTAAAAATCGAAAATTTACAATAGTTTGTATTTGTGTATATTACAGATTTAACAAAGCAGCTGCACAGTCATTGTGTGGTTTTAATAAACCTCCACCACCTGTTAATATTCTAAGAAACTGTGAATACAGTATTTAAAAAAAGTTCCTTAATGTTTGTGTGGGAGTGATGTTCTCTGCTGTTGCCAATACAACAGCTGTATCTAATGGCCTGGAAATAATCACACCAGTGGTTGAAAACACCAGTAACAAAGCCAAGTGATTGGGACACGTTGACACGGTCGGCCAAGTCGCACGCTGTAATGACCCCTTCCTCCTGTAATTTATCACACACATAGAACCCCAGTGGCGTGAGTGAGTGGTTTTAACACCGCTTTTAACAGTATTCCAGTTGTATCACGGCGTGTCAGCTTAACGTGGGTGGGAAGCCCGAAGTGATGCAGGTCTCAGACATTTACCCCTTTGGTGAAACCTACGGTAACGGGTCTGGTGCCGATAAACCTAGAAACATAATCGGGGTGAACTGGGATTCGAACCCACATTCATAGGTTTCTGGCTCGCCCAAGGGACGCAACTCTGCACAGCAAATCACGGAGTCTTAAGACGACTTGGCCACCTGTGTCCCCCGAACCTCAGTGGAGATCCGGGTTAGAAATGATCTTTAAGATGTACAGGATACTGGGAACTTTCTTCACCCAGAATACTGTACAGGAATTTGTTTGAATTACTTCGGAGTTATGAAGTTGAGAATATTAACATCTCTTGAAGTGTAACTTGTTCACACTTGTCTATCAAAAACTATTTTGTCTGACAATGAAAGGAAGCTAAAATGTCTCAGAATGACTTTCTTTTCACACAATTTGTCGTTATTCAGATACATTAATCCCTTCGAACAATGCACCGACGTTAACTTCCGGGTGACGTGAATGACAAAACAACACAAAACCTCAAGAGCAGTGCTTAATCTAACTTACGAAATCTACTTTTCCATCTTATCATACTTGAAAGTGAGTATCTATGTACACCACTTCTACAACAAAGAATGTCCGTCCGAATACAATGCACAACATGCATGCAGTTATTGGTCTGCTATACAGAAAAATGGCCTTGCTGGATTCTAGGCTCTCCGTGCAATATAACTTTCTCGTAACAGCTCTTGGCTATTACCTTAAATGTGTGGAAGGCCGAAGTTGGAGCACCAGCTGG